TTCGGGGTCTGCTCTTCACGTCGTCTCTGCCTCTGGCCGGGCGGGCACCCTGAGCTGGCCGCCCCTGCGGGGGCGGGAGCCTGACCCCGACCCGGTGGATGTCTGCGCTGTGAGCCGCTCAGGCCCAGGTCTGAATCACATCTCACCTCTGTGCGACCTTGGGCAAATGTCTCGGCCTCCTGTGCTGCCCTACTTGACATTGTGTAGGTCAGGCATCCGGACGGTGCTTGCTCAGCACACAGTAGGTCTTCAGGGGAACCAGTTCTCTTCACGTTCCTCGCCTTCATGCGGGCCCCGCTGGGACCTCCTGAGGTGAGTCCTCTGAGGGGTGAGCGTGAAACTCCGGCGCCCGACGCTTTCCCTCCGCCCGGGCCGTCCCTGCCCTCCCGGACTCCGGCCGGGGAAGCCGGCCGAGGAGCAGCCGGCACTCACCGGCCGAGCCTGGAGGGAGCCGGAGGTCCAGGGCCCAGGGGCGGGGGCTCTGATGGTTTCAGAGCCGGCTTCATTCTTGGGGAGGTCTTCCCCCTCTTGGCCTGCCTCCTGGGCGCTGAGAGCACCTTCCCAGCGCTCACCAGACCCGGTCCCGCCCGGGGCGGGCGCGGGGCCGGCATGTTGCCAAAAGGAGTTTGAGGAGCCTGTGTTTCCGAGCACGTGAACTCGTGGGGCGGTGACACGTGAATGATGCTGTTGAGCTTTGAAAAGAGCTGTTTCTTACCCTCAAACATGTTCTTCCTGGAGAGAGAAAACAAAAGATGGCCCCAGACCAACTCAAGAAAGAGGAAGAGGCGGAGCTGAGCTGGGGCCAGGCCTCCAAACATGTAAGGACCCACCCGCCGCGAAAGCAAAGAGGGAAGGGGCCCCAGAAGAAGCGGGGCTCACGGCAGGGCCACGCAGCCCCCCTCCCAGCCCGTGTCCCCAGGAAGGCGCTGTGAGCTCAGCCCACCGGGAGGGCGGGGTGCGATGGGGGCCGAGCTCTGTTTGGAAAATGCCCGTCAGTCAAAGTTAAAGTCAAAGGTACCATCTGAGTGCATAACTACGATTGTGAACAATATTCATTCACCAAATAGTTATTAAAGGCCTGCTGTGTGCCAGGCAGGCTGGACGTCCAAGCGCATGTCACGGTCCCTGTGCTGCCAGGGCTCAGCGGCGCAGGGGGCCGGCCACCCGGAAGCGCTCTTTTGAGGGCGAGACCAGCAGGGCGTGGCGCTGGGCCACGTGGGGGGCAGGGTGTCCTTCAGGAAAGGGCTGGAGCGCCCAGCGACCCGGGGCGACAGCAGACAGGTGCTTTGACCGGGGTTCTGACCCCCACGAGGAAGGCGGCTCGCTCAGGGAACAGCATGTGCCCTTCCACGTGGGACGTCACGGGGCCCCGTGCACTGGACGGCTGGCGGGAAGCAGGGTCCGGTGCCTCCTCCCCAAGACCCCCCACCCCCGCCCGCCCCCCGCCAACCCTGGCTACGGTTCTCCGCCCAACTGAACTGGGGTTTTTGCTGGTGTTTGTTGTTTTTGGTTTTGTTTGAGAATGCTTTCCCAAAATAGGATTTTTCTCAATTTTCCAGATCCATCAGTTTTTTATAAAATTCATTAAGTTTGGTGAAACCTTTTTTTTTTTTTTGGAATTTACAGGCAGTTTACTGGACTTGGCTGGGAGTGAGGGGTGATAATTTTGTAGGTTCACCTTCCTGGATGTTCATCTCAAAGACGCGGGTGCCTCCGTGAGCCCAGCGCTCAGCTGGCCCGGAGGATTCAGACAGGCGCCTGCCGGGGGCTGGGGATCTGGGCGGCGGTGCCGGCGGGGACGGCACGCCTCTGGCGCTAACCCTGGACTCCACCGGCTCGAAGGGAGTTCACTCCTGTACCAACGTTCTGGACTGTGGGCAGCGTTGCCAGTGGCTTTCCCGCAGTGACGCCTGTCATGCGGTCCCCACGTGGGCTGCTGGTCCCACACCCCCCAAGGGGCCCCCTGTGTGAGCAGAGGCGAGCCCGTGGCCCCTGGGACTGTCTGTCCGGCTCTCCCTGGGGATGGAGAGCTCCCCACCTTTGCGGGGAGCAGCCCCTGCCCTCAGACCCATCTTCCCGGTGAGCGTCCCTCAAGCAGAGGTGAAGCCACCGGCCGAGGCAAGGTCACCGGGCAACTTCAGGTAAGACTGGGAGCTGGGGAGGACCCGCTACCGCCCCCTGGTGTCCACCCACCAACCGGACATCTCCACTTCTCCAGGTCCCTGATGGCCCAGCCAGAGGCGCCTTCGGGGCTGGAGGTGTAAGTCGCCTCCAACTCGCCGTGTGACCTTGTGGAAACGTCACCCCCCTCCGGGCATCGGTTTCATCATCCGTAAGACTCAGGATGGAGACACATAGTCTTGAGAAAGAGAAAGCCAGCCCCAAGCAAGTGAACAAGGCAGGATAGTCTCAGGGACTGGGCAAAGAGTAGGGGAGCCTACTGAGGGGTGCACCGGGGGCCCTGAGAAACTGGGGGTGGGAGGGGGCAGGGGCTCAACCGAGTCCAAGAATGTCAGGGCGAGGGGACGCAACAAAGCCCCACGATCCTGGCCAGGGGCCCCCCAGCCCACGGCTCGCCCCTCCCCTCCTCTCCCGCAGGCCCCCCCCCAGCCTGCCTAAAAGCTGGGCTCGGAATTCGGGTGCTCTGGACGGATCCTTTTGATGTAAAGGGTGCTGCTGAGGCACTTGGCAAAATGGGAACACGTTCTCACGATTGGATGACAGCAACGTATCATTTACCGGTGTCGATGGTGGGCGGCCGCTTGGCAGCAGGTTGTCGGCGTTTGCGCAAGGCGTACACACCCTGCCGGTAACGCACTCACAGACGGGGGCGGGGGGCGGTTATAGCCCACTCACACATCGCTCTGATTCTGAGATGCTTTCAACAAGTTAACATTGTGTTAAGTCTTGAATTTTAAAGATCGGAGGCGTCCTTTGATGCAGCAATTTCAATTTCCAGGTTTATTCTATAGATACGTTGGTATAAGTGTATATGTGCAATAATACTTATGTATCAGCATAAAAATGTCTATGCCGATATTGTTAACCACAATACATGTGTTTATGGCAGGGATTTAAAATAGCAAAAAATCAGAGGTTGACTGTCCATCAAGTAATTACACTAAATGCTTACAATGGATACTTTGTAGCCATTGAAAAGAATAGGTTGGGTCTATGCAGTGCGCGTTCACGGCCCCCCTGCGCTCACGGCATGGCAGGCCTCGTCCGAGGGTTTCACGTAACTTGATTCAAAATAACCCCACGGTGCAAGTCCTGTTGCCCTCCCCGCGGTGCAGAAGAGAGGACGGAGCCCCGGGGAGGATCAAACAGCGTGTCCAAGGCCACACAGCCAGCGGGCAACGCAGCCAGCCTGGCACCCAAGTCCCGCCGCTGCCCGGCGAGCCCGCGCGCCGGGCCACACACGCAAGGCTTGGGGAAGGACGCACAACACCACTGCCAGCCATCGCCCTTGAGGAAGGAGTAGGAATAAGCCAATGGGACTTTTCATTTACAGCTGTTCTTACCCTATACCGCGTATCTTTATCATATATCACCCCATATCCGCTTTATGCATTTTTAAAACCTACTAATTTAAATAATTACTGAAGACTAAAAAATTATTTTTTAAATCTACCATTAATGAACGTACAGCCCCGGTACCAACTTGAGGAGGTGTATTCATTTCACAAGCAATTGTAAGGACGCTCATGTGGGCTGTGGAAACTGGTAAACACTGAAAGTTGTGCGCATCGGCAGGGTCTGCACACACCTGTTGCTGCTGTTTGGTGACAGCCCCCACCCCAAGGTAGCGCAGGGGCCTGAAATACCCAAATTCCCCTCCAGCGCTTCAGGAGGCACACCTGCAACCAAATGCTCTAACCTGAGTAGTATTTTGTGGCTTTAGAAAGCTCCTTACAAATTCCCACAACGATCCTATAAAACTTAGTTTCCTGTATCGTAAAATGGAGGTAACAATAACTTCGTCTAAAAGCATTGCTTATTTATGCATTTATCTATATTCCTATCCACATTGTGCAGATATGGAACTGAGTTTCAAAAGTAGTTGCCGGGGAAAGAGAAAACTTTTCAATCGACCTTTTTTTTTCTAACAATAAGTGAGAGCGGAGAAGGGAGAGCGCTCCCGTGTGCCCAAAGGCCAGGAGAGAGGGAGGATGGGAATTGGGAAGGGCGAGCGAGCAGGTGGCCTGGAGGCGGTGCCTGCACCTGCGAAGGGCTGGGTTTGAGCCCCGCCCGAAGCGCAGCTGGGCGGAGGGCGACCCCTGCGCCGGCGCCGCGTCCTCGAGCGCGCCCCGCCCCCGTCTGCGCACGGATCCTGGCTCCTCCCAGAGCCGCGGCGGGGCGACCCACCTGCAGGGCTTGTCTTGGTGCACAAGGGCTGGGCGCCCTCCCCGCGGCGGGGCCCCGGCACCATGGGGCTTCCCCGTCCAGGGGCGTCCAGATGCCAGGCAGGGAGGAGGGCGGGGAGGGGCACGGGACCTGCGCGAGGAAACCCTGGCTCAAAGCCCCATTCCCAGTTGGTGTTACTACTTAGTCCGTCGCTTTGGCTAAGGCTCGTTTCCAAGCCTCAGTTTCCCATCTGTAAACCCGGAGTGAAGGGTGTTCTCCCTGCAGAGCCGGGATGGGAATTTAACGAGGTACTGAGCCTGCCGCCGGAGCATTCAGACAAGGGGGTCCCATCGCACCAAGGGCAGGACCGTCCCGCAGCATCACCCGGCAAAGTTGCGCCACTCGCCAGGTGCGGGCTCATCCCACCCCGCCCAGCCGCCGCCTTTCTCCCCGAAGCTGGCTTGGGGCGAGGGGCGAGGAGCCGGGAACTCTCTCCTGCACCGGCGCCTCCCGCGCGGGCACCGGGGCGCGCGCCCTTCCTCCTGGCCCGGCACCCCGAGGTGCCCGCGCTCCAGGAGCTGGGCGGGGCGCAGCCCACGTGACCCGGGCGGGCAGCACCAGGTCTCGCCCGCTGCCCGCCAGGCCGAGGCAGTCAGGAGCTCCTGCCTTGCGCCCTGCGCCCTGCTGCCCTAGCGCGCTCTAACCCGACGCCCAGCCTCTGCTGAAGCAGGGCCCGCACGCACGCCCGGGGAAAGAGTCGGTAAGTGCTGCGAGCAGGGGAACCGGTGGGGCACTGGTAGTGCCCAGGACAGGAGACTCGGGCTCAGGGACGGTCTGTGGAGATGTGCGCACCTCTGCTGGTGCAGAAACGCCCCCAGTAACCACCGCCCCCCCTTGCTCCAGGCTGGCGAGGAAATCCTGTCCTGCCCCCCCAGAGCCACAAACCTCAGACTTCACCTGCCTACTCTGATCAGTCCTCAGGCGGCAGGTCTTGAGGGAAGCTCTGCTTTTTGTCAGAAGCCCTGTTGTGGGTCTGCAGGCAGGTTGAGCTGCAGACTGGGAGGGTTCTCCCTGGGCGGCTTCTCCCTGGGCGGCTTCTCCCTGGGCGGCTTCTCCCTGGGCTGGCTGCCCTGCAGTCCTTGGGGTCCCAGCTGGGAGGATGTCCTGGCTTGGAAGGAGGCTTCCCGGCCCCCCTCTGGGCATCCAGGAGCCCCGCTTTTATTGGAATCATCTTGTTTGCAGCCAGGCCCCTCCTGGCCCACCTACCGTGTTGTAGAGATTGAGGGGTCGGGGGTCTGAGGGCAATGGCCGAGCTAACCCTCCTTATAAATCCCCGAGGATTCCATAGGCTCGGATCGCACCCCAATACTGAAAACCCCACTTCATTTTCAGGTGGGTTGGGGCCTTTATATTGTTTTTCTTTTTTTTTAGCGTTTTTTTTTTTAATCTCACACACTTCTTTCTGAGAAGTTGGAGTGGCCTTGGGGGGAGGCGAGGCCCCCAGGAGCCCCCTAACGGCACCGGCGGGCCCTGCCCATGACGTGAGGTCCAGGGAGGGGCCGGAGCCTGCAGACCATGGGCGGCCGCGCAGCGGCCTTGGCACACGGGCGGGGCAGCGCCAGGCGCACGATGAGCCTCGGGGACTGAGAAACCACCACCGGCGGAGGGGGTCTGGCGGGAGGGCGATAAAGCAGGCTGATGGGAAAGGGGACCCTGGCGGCCTTGAACGACAATGTGGTGCAGCTCGTGTGGCTGGTTCGGCCTTCATGAGGTTGACTGTCTTGTTCTTTGCAGAAGCGACCTCTGGAGGAAGAGCCCCCAGCTCCTCCTCCTCTTAGAACCACCCCCGCCTCCGTCAATTCTGACCCCCTGGCCTCATACAGGGCTGCAGGGGGCCGGGGGTCACGGAGCGCGGCCGCGGAACAATGGGGAGGCCGAGGCCCGGCTGGTGAGGGGAAGCCAGCTCCCAACTCAGCCCCGCCCTGGGCCTGCAGCCTCGGCCTGGGGCCCGTCCTGGCCGTGGGCTGAGGCAAATGCAGGACCTGGGTCCGCGTGTGAACGAGGGACCTGGCAGGGCGGGCGGGCGGGCGGTCGGCAGGCTGCGGAGCGCCCGCCCAGTGGTGCACCTGCGGCGGGGGCTGGGGGGCGTCTGGCAGAAAGGGCCCCTTTTGCAGCGGACGAGGGCTGGGGGCGGGCTCCCGCCGGTGGGCAGCAGGCCCGGCTCTGGGGGCAGCGTTTGGGACACACCTCGGGGTGAACGCAGAGCTGGCGGCCGGCCTTCCCCCAGGAGTGTGCCCGCACCCTTGTCGGCACAGACAGCCCCCGAGGCCCGGGTCCCGCGTCAGCAGGGCCTTCAGTCAGGGAGTCCGACGGGCTTCGCGGTTTTATTCGCTCAGGGGTGACCACCCCTCACCATCGTTCCAGCCCACCCAACACGCGGTCCGGCCAAGCGTCACGAAGGAGGAAGCCTCGCCCAGATGTCTCTTTAATTTGGCCAAAATAGGAACTCGAATCTTTAACAGTAAAGGTGACATACGACTGAATCTCAGCCCCCTGGGCCCTGGGTATTCACTTTATAAAACCAGCTCCGCTGCCTGTCTCCTGCCGTCCCCCGCCGAGGCGGCCCCTCGGTTCTCTGTCACGGCTGCCCCGTGCCTGGGAAGGCTGGCGGGCAGTGGCCGAGCAGCGCAAAGGGGAAGTGTTCTGTTCAGGAAGCTCATGACTAGGAGTTATCTGTCCTCAGTGGAATGAGGACAGATAGAGCCCAGTGCGTGCCTTCCGCCCCCCGACACACGCGCCCCAGGAGGGTCCCCCCGCACCGCCTGCCCTTGCCAGCTGTGGGTGAGGGGGCCAGGAGGACGCGGGGCCTCGCTGGGCAAGGCAGCAGGGGGCGGCGGGTGGGAGCGTGATGGGCCACGGGGCTGTCCCCTCCCCGAGGCCACGTGCATGGTCCCGCGGCGTGGCTGGGCCTGGTGGGGGGCCGGCCCTGCCAGCTCCTGCGGCATCCGAGCCCGAGGCGAGCCAGACGGGGTGCCCGCAACACGTCCCCGAAATGCCCACGGACTTCCGGTGTGTGCATTTTAAATGCCGAGGTCACACGTATTCTTCATTCAGTGGAAGACTGTTTCTCTAAACATGGTGTTCAGAGAGGCTTAAGCGTTTTGTTCACCCACTCAATGGGAGGCTTCGGTCACAGCAGGGGAGGCCACGCCGTGGGTCGCCCCTCCCCCGCCCCCACCCGCCGTCCTCGGGACAGGCCCCCCGGGAGCACGGCCCCCACCCCGCCTGGCACAGCCTCCTGTGAGCCGGCTCTGCGACATGAGCCAGCCCTCCCAGCTCTCGCTGCCCCTGCCGCTCAGCCCAGGGTTGGGCCGGAACCAAAACGCAGCGCTTGGGTACAACTTTTCAGGTGACGTGTGGCCCACAAAGTAGCAGCGGCCTGGCCTTGGTTGAGCGACATGGGGCGTATGTTTCCCGGTGTGTGTCCCCTCGTCACTGGCGGTACTAAACCGAGCACAGTGGACATGTGTCGCTTTCCGTAGTAACTCGGGGCCATCGTGGGAGCGAGCGCGCAGGCCGGTGCTGGAACATTACGCCGCGGTTCCTGTGGGCGCGGGGCGGGGCGGAGCGGGCTGTGGGCCTCTCTGCCGTGCCCGCCGCTGGTCCCTTCTCAGCATGGTCCTGGCTGGTCTCGCTCCGGGCCGCCAGGAGCCAGCATGGGCCTCGTCCCCTTGAGAGGGAAGGTCACGCTCAGCTGACGGTCACGGTGCTCTTGTCTGCTCTGGAAATAGAATTTCAATGAATACCCTTCTTAGGATACAATTTTTTTTTTTCCAAAAGTGGTAAAAAAACAAAACAAAACTGAATAAAGCCCAGTCATCCATCAGATAACTTTTTGTTCCAACGTTTTAAAACCCAGAAACCGTGTGCTCCAGGGAGCATCAAAAATCCGCTTTGTTTTTCAGTTCTCTTGCCCACAAGACGGGGGCGGTCTGGGCGCTCAGGGCTCCCTCCAGATGCAGCGCCCATCGTCCCCCTGCGCCGCGGGGGGAGGGGCTGAGGGTTGGGCCAAAAATGTAAGCGATTTCGCACCCGTTGTAAGGGACAAGCCAGGGAACATTCTAGTTGACAGCCACGGGATCTCTGTGGAAACTTCCATCTCAAACGGCATCTGAGTGCTGCTCAGAAAATGTCACGGTTCCTAATTAACCTCTTATGCACAAATGGATGCACATTCCTGGCGCAGAGCACGTGCCGCTCTGCTGCCGCGGGTGCGGGGAGCCGCTCACAGGGCCGGGACGCCTGGCCTGTGACGTGAAGCCCCCCACCCTGTGACAGCAGGCAGATGGGACCCCTTCCCGGACGTTCCCGGGAAGACAGATTTCAGGCCCCAGGGAAGATCTGCCGAAGTCACCGGGCGGCGAGCAAGCTTTGTCACCCACAGCAAACGGCATCCAAACGGAGCGTTTCCCCAGGATCGCACTGGGGGTTCTCATCACGAAGCCTGACCCTAGGGCGGGGGACGGAGCCGTCCTGTCCTTGCCATCACAGTCGCTTCTTCCGCAAAAGGAAGAGAATAAGGGACCCTGTGCCTAAAGGTGCGAGGTCCAAGGCGCGGGAAGCAGAGCCCTTTTAAAACCAGGGTGTGGGAATTCTACACGGACGTTCATTTGTTTGCCCGTTTTAGGAAACGCCTCACCCAGGTGCAGGCCGGCTGCCTGGGAACGCGGCGCTCTGGGCGCAGCCTGGCGCGTGGTGAGCTAGCCGGCGCCCGGGGCTGCCCGGCTGACGCTGCGGTCCTGTGATCTCCCAGGTGGGACCCGCCGAGGAGCAGAGATGGGGAAGAAGCTGGACCTTTCCAAGCTCACGGATGAAGAGGCCAGGCACGTCTGGGAAGTCGTGCAGCGGGACTTTGAGCTCAGGCGGAAGGAAGAGGAAAGGCTGGAGTAAGTGCTGGGGCTGAGCGCACGCCAGGGCGGGGCTCGCTGGGCGGTGAGCGGTGCTGGGCTGGGGGCGGCCCGGTGCTGCGGGACGTCTCCCCTTCTGGCCTCAGCCGCCTCACGATGGAAATGAGGCTGCCTGACTCTCAGGCAGTCCCTGAATAGTTTTATTGCAAGTTGATCCACCTTCCAAGGTGTCATCATCCCCAAGCTGGGTGATGCTTGGGCCTCAGCCTTACAAGAACAGAGCAGCTGAAGGTGATCAAGGGGTGAAGATGACCCATGTGGGCACACCCTGAATGCGACACTCGAGGGGTGTGGGACGAGGCTGGCCCGTCTTCCTTCCCGGTAGCATGGGTGGCACCCTGTCCCCCACCCTGAGGCGGAGCTAAAGCCCACCAGCAGCCTTGCCTCCCATCCGCCTGCATGTTCCTCCCCAACCGCCCGCCAATGTCCGCTTCTGCTGGGCCCCTGGGTGCCTCTCTGGGGCTCGCCGTGGACCGGGGGGCCTGTGCAGAAGGAGGCTACGCCTGAGCAGAGTCTCGAGGAGGCGCGAGCGGTAGCCAGGAGCGGCAGCCGGGCGCTCCAGGCAGGGCAGGGAGGGGAGGTCGCGGGCGGCAGCGGGCGGGTCCCCTGGCGCCCACGCGCCCTGGGCCAGCCTCTGAGACCCTGCAGGCCACCCAGCAAAGGACCACGGGCCCGGCCCCTGCCTCTCAGGGCGTGGGTTCCCGACGTGGTCAGTTGCGTTTGGAGGCGGAGCCAACGAGTTTGTCCACGTGTTGGGTGTGGGGTGGAGAGTGTGGGAGGAGTCAAAGGTGACTCCAAGGTCAGGGCCTGAACAGCTGAGAGGACGCAGCTGCCCGCTCACCTGGAAAAGGCGCAGTGGGCCCGGGCAGCGGGGGCGGGGCTGGACTGCCTCCTAGACCTCGCGCGGCCAGGGGGCCCCCACACCCTGGGCTAAAGCCCAGCGCCGCGGCCACAGGAGCTCTCACCGTGCAGATGGCGTCTGTGCCTGTTTCCTTCGGCTGCTGTAGCTGCTGCCTATGCAGCGACTTAAACACACAGGCGTGCCCGTGGCTCTGGAGCTCGAAGAGCTAACACGAGGTGGGGGGCGGGGCTGCGCTCCTCCTGGGGCCTCTCAGGAAACCCCGTTTCCCTGTCCGTCCCACCCGGGAGCACCCTCCAGCCGGCTCCGTCACTGCCCTTCGCCGAGCTCTCTTTCCGGCTCCCCGCCCCCTCCCCGTGGCGCACGGGCCCACCCCGATAGCCAGGGCAGCCTCCAGGGCCCTCCGCTTGGTCACATCTGCCTCAGAGGGCCGTTCCGGCGGGGCTGCCGAGGCCCGTGGAGCGTTCTTGTCCCTGGTCTCACGCTGCAGGCGGGGCGCTGGCTGGCGACAGGCGGCAAGGAAAGAGGCGCGTGAACAGTGGGGTTAGGGAAGGCCTCTTTTGTGTTTTTTATTGTTTTTGGTGTTTTTCTCTTGTTCACTGGGCTATTGGTTCAATAAGCAATAAAAGGCAGAGCCGCCCCTGCCTGGGAAAAGCCTTCCCACCAGCGCCCCACCCCCGTGACCTTGCCCCCAGCGGCCCCACCCCCGTGACCCCAGCAGCCACACTCTGCTGAAATGCACGTAGGATAAAGACTCTGGTCCTTGTCACCGAAGCTGGCTCTGCAGAGTAAGTCGGCTAAAATCCGGGCAGTCCGTTACGAAACTGAAGATCACTTTTATGATATAAATGCCCCTTCCCAGTCTCTTCTCAGTGTTTGTCTGGGCATTTAACCGATTTCAACACAAATGGTCGCCCACTTCTGGCCCCCCGTGTCCCCTTCCCTGTGGCCTGTCTGTGGGCTTCTCCACAGCCCCCCCGGGGACAGCGTCCCATCTGCTCTCAGTTCCCGGTGACGCCGTGGCCTGTGAATCAGTGGAGACCTGAGCCTCAGGGGACCGCTCCGTGGGTAGCCAGGCAGACGCGCAGGTCAGGGACTGCGCGCCCGAGCGGTTGAAGTGCTTGCGCTGCTCCGAAAGGGACGCCAAAGGGGTGGCCCAGCCCAACGACCCTACCGCGGTCGTTGACAGAACACGGTTAAGGAGGGAACCTGTGAAACCAGGAAACAAGCACGCTCCGTCCTCGGAGAGCAGGCCCCTGGGCTGCACAGGCGGACCCTGCGCGCGGGCTCAGGGCCCCTTCCCGAGAGCAGGTTCGCCGAAAGGCCGCTTGCTGAACAGACAGCTCACCCACTGTGCCCATTTGAAAACAATCCAAGAACCAAAAAAAGGGGGAGGATTTCTTTTCATATGTACAAGAATGTGTCTTCGACACAAGGACTGTGTCATAGGTGGATTCCTCCGCAGCCGCGCGTGCCCGGGCCCCTGACCTTCGCAGGGACGGGAGGCGTGAGGCTGTGAGAGTGATTGCGCAGCACCTGCCTGACTGGAGGACCCCAAGCCACCAAAGCCTCCGATCCCTGGGCCGGGCCCCAGGCGCCGTCCCCAGGGCTGTGCTCCAGGCACGCAGAGCCCACGGGGAGCCCAGAGGCGTCCCAGTGGTGGGACTGCCGAGGCAGGCGGCCTCGGCCTCTGCCCCTGAGCCTCCTGATGGCATTCCTGAGAGAATGCGTGTTTATTCCGGGGAACGGGGGTGCTAATCGCGGTGACCTCCGTGTGGCTTTCCTCTCAACTGACGGGAAGGGATTTCCCCCGGGGCCACTGGCGGACGGGCAGCCCCCGGCAGAAGGCGGCGGGGGCGGGGCGGCAGCCTTTGGCTGAGTCCAGGCAGACATAAATCTCTCCCTGAAGTTGGCATGTGTGAGCAGGGACATGGGAGTGGGGTGTTTACTGTACAGGGTGTGATGTTATGCCTGGCTTCCCGTCAGGGTACAGTGCTGGGTGCCAAAGAATGGAAAACTCAAAGGTGCACAAAATAGGACGTCGACAGCGCCCAGCACCGGCTTCGGCGGGCACTGCGGGAGGGAGCGGGGCAGGGCGGGGAGGGGCCTTGCCAGGAGGCCGTGGGTCCCGCTGTGGGTGAACTTTGAGCTTTAGGGCAGGATCGGCGTCCGTGTGAGAGACGGGCAGCCTGGTGCCGATCTGCTGCCAGGCACAGGGCTTGGGCCGTGAGCCCGTGGGTGCGGCCGCCCCGGGTGTGGGGAGGGAGGGTGGACAGGAGAGGCTTTGCTCGAAGAGGCAGCTCCAGCCCTGACGGACGCCCCTGCGGCACTGGCCTTCACGGTCCTCGGGGCCCCTGGGGATGGGTGATGTGGGGGGAGGAGGCCAGTGGGAGGGGGCCAGGCGCGGCTCCTGGGCGGCCGTTCCAGCCGCAGGTGCAAGAAGCCAGCTGCTGAGACCTGAAAGGCCCTTTGGGAAGGCAGCTACCTCTTTCTGCTTGTGTCCTCTCCCATTGGGGTTTCGTTCTGGTGGAGAATATCAGCTAATTTGTGCACCAGGAGAGCTAAAAAAAAAAAACCTTGAGAAAAAGCACAGTGGGAGGAAGTGTGTGCCCTGGTTTCAAACTATACTGCAAAGCTACAATAATCAAAACAGCATGGTACTGGCATGAAACCAGATAGACAGATCAACAGGATAGAATGGAAAACCCAGAAATAAATCCTCACTTACATGATCAATTAATCTATGGCAAAAGAGGCAAACATATACAATGGAAAAATGACAATCTCTTCAATAAGTGCCGTTGGAAAAACTGAAGAGATACATGCAAAAAAATAAAGGAAACTGGACCACCTTCTATTACCATATACAAGAATAAACTCAATGGATTAGAGACTTACACAGAAGACCTGAGACTATAAAACTCCTAGAAGGAAACATAAGAAGTAAGTTCTTGGATATTGGTCTAAGTAATGTCTTTTTGGATGTGTCTCCTCGGGAAAGGGAAACAAAAGAAAAAAATAAAAGGGACTATATCAGACTCAAAAGGTTTTGCACAGCAAAGGAAAACATCAACATAACACAAATATATATAATAAATGGGAGAAGATATTTCCCAATGATACATCTGCTAAGGGGTTAATATCTAAAACACATAAAGAACCCATACAACTTATTGGTAAATTAAAAAAAGAAAAATAATCCAATTCAAAAATGGGCAGAAGACCTGAACAGACAGTTCTCCAAAGGGGACATACAGGTCACTAGGAGACATGTGAAAAGATGCTCCGCGTCACAAATCATCAGAGAAATGCAAATTGAAACCACAGTGAGATGCCACCTCACACCTGTCAGAATGGCCACCGTCATCCAATCCACAAACCGCAGGCGCCGATGAGGACGCGGAGAAGGGGCCCCTCGTGCGCGCTGCTGGTGGGAGCGCAGGCGGGGCCAGCCCCTGCGGGAAGCAGCGTGGAGGTTCCTCAAAAAAATAAAAAGCAGAGAGATGCTCTACAACCCAGTAATAACACTTCTGGGTATTTATTCAAAGAAAATAAAAACACTAATTCCAAAAGACGCACACCCCCCTGTACACTCATATGCCCGTTGCAGCGTCATCTACAAACAGCCAAGAAGACGGGGAGGCAACCCGGGCGCCCCTCAGCCGAGGAGCGAACGAAAAAGCTGCGGTGCGTGTGGGCGCGGTGGACCGTTCCTACTTCAGAAAAGAATGAAACCTTGCCGTTTGTGACCGTCTGGACGGACCTCGAGGGCATGATGGTCGGTGAGATAAGAGAAAAGCAAATACCGCGTCATTTCACCTCGATGAGGAATTTAAATGAGAACAGAACGAGTGAACAAACAAAGCAGATACCGAGCGCGAGTTGGTGGCTGCCAAGGGGAGGGTGAGGGATGGGTGAGAGGAAAAATAATCAGCAAAAAAGAAAGCAGCCACCGCCCCCCAACACCTCCTTTAGGCCCCCGACAGCCTCCCGGTGCGACCCTACGCCGTCCGCAGCTGCCGGTGAGGGAGGGCGGGGCCGGCGCCCAGCGAGGAGGCTGATAGGCGGCCGCTGGCCGCGGGGGGACTGTCAGGCCTCTGTCAGTCCGTGCCGTGCCGTGGCAGGCGGGCCGTGCCGTGTGCTGTTCTGTGCCGTCCCCTCCCAAGTGTCCGGTTCACATTGCTCCCGTATCCAAAAGGCTTTAAGCACAGGCAAGGTGACCACACGTCTGGCTGGTGCTGTCTCGTAAACACAGGGGCACCAAAGTAAACCTTCCCGAAGGGACCCTCCACCCCAGAGGCCCAGCCCCGTGACTCTCTCCCTCCAGAAGAGCCCGGAACTCCGAGGGGGCCCGCCAGCCTGGCCGAGGGACCTGCCCCGGCGCGGGGCAGAAGCGGCCGTCGCCTGCTGCGCCTGGGCCGCACCTCTCTGCTCGTCGGAAGGCCCTCATCACTCTCTGGGTTCTGGAGCGGCCACCAAGCTGTGTTCGCGGTGGAATTGCTGGGTTTTCCTCCATCCAGAAAGTGACGCCGCAGAGCCGGAGCTGGGGGCCCACGCCCCTGGGCAAGGACGGCAGCTTCCCCCCACCGACGCCCTGTTTCAGGCGCCCCGGCCCACAAGTCAAATATTAGGCCTGGGAGCCGCCCCCAAAAGACAAACAGGCAGTGCTGGGCCGACATAACAGCTGCAAACAGTCCTGGATTCCTGAGAAAATACGAGAAACGTGGCCAGCATGAGCCATGGGAGCCGTAGGGCTCACCTTGAAAAATAAGAACAATAAGGACAACAGTAAGGAATTAGAAGCCACCCCCAGGGGGGCACGTGGCGCCCAGGCCTGACGCCAGGACGGAGGAAGCAGCTGGGACAGGGAGTCCGCTGCCTGCGGGGCCGGGGCCGCTCCGGCCTCAGGTCGCCCAGCGGGTGCGGCGGCCCCTCTCAGCGCCTCGCTCTCCATCCCCACTATTTCCTCATCATTTTTGTCCTCATTTGGCGTTCGCTTCAGAGGACCTCAGAGAACATTCGCGGGTTTCTGTTTCCCTCACCGTAAGCCCTGATGTTTCTGCAGCTCCCCGGGGCTTCACATCCCCACGGTCGCTCTCAAACGTCCTCACACCCGGTTGGTCTCTTCCGGCAACGACCTCGACAGCCAGAGCTGGTGTGGTCGCCTTACTTTTGATGATGCCGTCTTTGCCTGCTGCGACCCCTTGTTCTCCCGGCTGCAACCCCCTCCCCCGGGTCTCCAGGCCTCGGGAGAACACGCCTTCAGGCTGTTCTCAGGGGCCGCCGGGCGCGGATCGTCACTGGGAATCTCTCGGCTGGGAGGGCGACCTCACCTCCTTTCTCCTCGGAGTCCCAGGGAGAATGACGAGCCGCACCCCCGACACCCATGTCCAGATCCCTCAAGTCTGTGAAAACGTCAGGTTACGTGGCAAAGGGGAATAAAGGTTGCAGGCGCCATGAAGGCCGCTGAGCAGCTGCCCTGGACGTGGGGAGGTGACCCTGGGTAACCAGGCAGCCCAAGGTCATCGCAGGGCCGATAAGTGGGAGGAGGCAGGAGGCCAGAGCACATGGCAGCCAGAGGGTCACTGGAGAAGGACTCGAGCGTCGGGGCCGGCGCACGCACACAGGTGCCCCCGGGAAGCCAGGGAAGAAGGGGGACAGGTCAGCCCCAGGGGCCGCAGGGACGGCCGTCCTGCCGGTACCTCACTTCCAGCCCAGTGACACACAGGCCGACTTCGGACCTCCAGAACCGAGACGTGAGCTGGGGCCGCTTCATGCACTCGGCTGGTGGAGGCGTGTGAGAGCTGCCTCCGGCTCTGCCCGGCCTGGCGGAGGGGCCGCGGGGGCTTCCGGCCTGCGGGCACGTTGCCTGTAGCAACCTGAGGGTCCGCCCGGTCTCTCGTGGCCAGACAGAGGGCGTTCGTTCCTGCAGGCTTAGGGCGAGCGCTGGTCCTGGGGCGTGGCCGGACCTCACCCCCACCCCAGCCACGCTGGGGAAAGACAAGGAAGTTCCTTTGTTTCCCATGTGACCTCACCTCTGGGTCCCTGCCCCTCGATCAGCAAGGACGCGCAAGCTCATGGGTAACCACCTCCCAGACTCTGCTCACCCACCCGATCTCTTCCCAAGGCTCGGTCTTCTCTTCCGGACTCCCACACCCCGCACCTGCTGCTTTCCTGGGAGTCAGCAGTTGGGGGGCGGCGGGGGGCTCAGGACTTCCCACTCTCAGAGGCAGCGCCTCCAGTGCCGCCCCTTCCCTCCTGCTGGGACGGGCGGGGCTGCGGCTCCGCCTGGGTAGGGGGTGAGGGGCGCCCCCGAGGCGGGCGGGCGCTGCAGGTCCAGCGAGCGCAGTGGAGGGGCCGGCCCCCAACCCGGCTCCAGGCCCCCGGGCTCCAGTGACTGAGGCAGAGGCTGGGCCTTGTGCGGCAGCGTGACCGAGACCGGGGCGTCCAGCCCGCGAGCCGCCTACGGCCCAGGTGGCTATGAATGTGGCCCAACACAAATTGTAAATGTACTCGAAGCGTTATGAGACTTTTTTTTGTTTGTTTGCATTAGTGTTTGTGTATTTAATGTGTGGCCCAAGACAGCTCTTCTTCTTCCAGTGCGGCCCAGAGACGCCCAAAGGCTGGACATCCCCAATAGAATTGTCCGTGAATGACACTGTTCCCCCTACATTCCTACAACCACTTGGCCGGGGTGGGGGGGCATGTGGGTGTGTGTGTGTTCAAAGCTGAGACAGGGGGCTTATTTTTGTGTCGAACTCCATGAGCTTTTGGCACACAGCGGGGAGAGGGAGCCGGCGAGGCGCGGGCAACCACCCGCTCTAACCGGGGCCCCTCAGAACACCGCCGCCGCCACCTGCAGCCTCGCCGCGCCCTGGTGCTGTCCGAAACCGCGGGGGCAGCATTCTCAGATGACAACAGCACCTAGTGTCCATCTGATTTTGTCCCCGAAAAGGGATTCGTTTGAGCTCATCTCCAGCTAAAACGTGACACCTGGCAGGCGTTCTCTGAGGTGGAACAGAGGCCATGTGTTCATTATCTGGGGGCACGTTTTCCCGGCAGGTGGAGTCGCCGGGCTCCCTTGGAAGCGGCGTCGCCGAAACCCGGGCGGCCCAGCACTGCCGTCCTCCCAGGACACGAGGTGCCAGGCAACTCCCGCCCCGCACGCCCCCCGAGCCGAGCCCTCCCGGCCCTGCTCTGCGGGGGCAGGGGTGCGGGGTCAGGGGCGCGGGGTCAGCTCAACTTGTTCCCCCACTGGGGGGCCCAGAACCACTCGTAGAGGAAGCGCCACTTGGCTTTGCCCTCGGGACTCTGTGACTGCTGTCGGCAGGGTGCAGTGACCTGTCAGGGTTCTCACCAGGGTGTCTGCCCCAGCTTGGGGCCGTCGCCTCGAGTCACGGTGGCAGAGCGGACTTTACTGGCCAGGGCACCCCAGAAAATAGCGCCGGCCTTGCTCAGGGCACAAATGAGCCTTTTCCGTGCGTTCACGGTGGCCCTTGCTTTGTCCGCCTCGTCCACCGCTTAGTTGCTCTCTCCTCTCTGACTGTCCTGTCCCTTAAGCGATCACACTAGGAACAGATTGGTTCCAGAGAGCCAGGTGGCCTGACCAGACCGCCAGCCCGATCCCGGTGGGGCTCCTCGGGGCCACCAGCCCCCACAGCTGGCCGGGACCCCTGCGCTCAGCCTCCCAGCGTGGCGCTCTGCGTCGGAACAGCTCGGGGTTCGGCTCAGAGCCAGAGAGAGCACGGGCGCCCGGGACCTCTGGCCGCCCGCCCTGTCATGCCGAGCTCCGCGAGGGCGTGCCGGCTGCGCGGGGAGGTGCCCCGGCCTGCGATTCGGGACCTCTGTGGTCCGCACCCCCTTTGCCAGCGAGCGAAAGTCATGCTCGTGCATCCCGGAAAATCAGCCAGTTGCAGTCACGGAAGTGTTTATAGGCGATGTCATTCCTATAAAAATAAAGTACGTCAATTCCAATGTCCCCAAATGACACGTCTGAACCCTACGTTAGCGTGTGAGAAAGCCTTGTGTGTGGTCACACACTTAAAGCCATTGCAGAAACAAGATGTCCAACGTGTCCCTGTCTTTGCTGTTTCCCTAAGGGAGTTGAAGGGCAAGATAAGGAAGGGGAGCCCCCAGAGGGGGCTGGGGCCCGACGCGGCCCCCCTGAACGAGACCCACTGCGCCCACTGCCTGCGGCCCTACCGGCTCCTCGCGGCCCCCAAACGGCGATGCCGGGGCTGCCGCCTCTTCGCCTGCCAGGGCTGCAGCCACGCGCACCCCGAGGAGGGCTGGCTCTGCCACCCTTGCCACCTGGCCAGGTGAGCGGCCCTGGGGGTCCGGCGGCCCTGCCGCTGTGGGCGGAGGCTCGCCCCTTGGGCGGGGCTGGCTGGCGAAGGGTGGGCCCGCACGTGGCTGTTGCGCGCGGGCGCCGGTCGGTCCGGCAGCGCGGGGGGCCTGAGCTCCGTCTCTCCGCAGAGTCGTGAAGATGGGCTCGCTGGAGTGGTACTACGGGCACGTGAGGGCCCGCTTCAAGCGGTTCGGGAGCGCCAAAGTGATCCGGTCCCTCTGCGCGCGCCTGCCGGGCGGAGGTGAGGAGCGGGCACCGGGGGCGTGGGGGTCCCGGGCAGGGGCAGGGGGCGGGGCTCCCAGGCGTGTTTTGCTGTTCGGGACCGAGCAGACTTCTTTGGAATGTTTCTGTGAGCGCCTGTCTGTCAGCCCGTTTCCGGGGTTTTGTCAGAGGGCGGCGGCTTGCCGTGTGAGGGGCAAGCGTGGACGCCCCGGCCCAGCTCGGCCCCCTGGCAAGTTCTGCCGCCTGAGCCCCCGCCCCTGAGGTCGCGTGTTTCAGAGCTTCATAGTCCAGAACCCACAGCCCAGGCGCTCCAACTCGGCGGCTGATGGAATAGCCCGGCCCCGGTTCCTGCCTTGTGTCCCCAGGCCCGCCTTCCCTCGGCAGGGGTTTGAGGATGACACAGATAAATCACCCAAACCCGGACATTTGTACGAGTAACAGCAGCCCTCCTCGTAACAGGCTGGGGCCACCGACACGGCTGTGCGTGCCCCAGCGGCACGGGGCGGGGCTGTCACCCTGTTCTTGGGGGGCTCCTTCCTTCCCTTTCTTCCCCGGGCTGCCGCTTCGAGGCTGGCGTCTCTGCCTCGGGCTGGAGCCCACAGAGTGTCACCTCACCCTGCCCGCGCAGCCAGCCGGGAGCCCGCCGAGGGTCCTCTGCAGCAGCAGGAGCTCGGTCCGGCCCCTCGGCGGCGCCCGGCGTGGGGGCACAGCTAGTGCAGGGAGAGCCACAGCCCCGGGCGCCTGGGAACCTCAGCCCGGACGTCAGCTGCTGCCGCAGGAAACCGCACGCCGCCTCAGGTCCCCGAGGACCTGCCGGGGACCTGCGTGGGCTCGGGAATCGGTGTTACGTACGAGGCCACAGGGACCCGGTGCCCAGCCCCAATCCAGAGCTGAGTTAGCCCGGGAGCCTGCCGGTTTCAGAGCCCTCGCCACTGAGAGCCAGGAGGTGGCGCTGGGGGGCAGCAGGCGCCCAGCTTCCCAGCCCAGGGAGGCAGGTCTGCAGGCCCCGGGAGTGACTCCTGGGTCTGTGTTCTCCCTGCCTGGCGCCCCGGGAGCACAGTCCGTGAGCAGGGGGCGGGGAGGGGGCACTAAAGCTGGGGACGCTGTGCCGCTAAAAGTAGTATTCAAACAAAGAAATGAGTCACGTTAATGTTGTGGAACCTGGCCTGGCCAGGACCTGGAACAGATCTACCAACAATGCCGGCTGGCGGGGGGCACCCAGGGTCTCGGGGTGCCCTTCTGAGTGGAGGGTGCGTTTTCCCAAAGGCCCCGCCGCAGGGCAGGCAGGTGCCGCGGGAAACAGTGGCTGGGCCGTGGGGAGGAACCTCCTCCCTCCGGTCCTCGAGCTCAGGGGGGCTCCCTGCAGGAAGTCTTTTCTCCTCAGCGCCTATTCCTGGGTCGCAGGCTTGTCAGAGCACAGAGCTCGCCCAGCATTCACAGTAAGTCCCTCTTGCTCAAATGCTTTTTTTTTGTTTTTAAGATTTTATTTATTTTTAGAAAGGGGAAGAAAGGGAGAAACAGAGGGAGAAACATTAACGTGGGGTTGCCTCTTACACGCCCCCTCCTGGGGACCCAGCCCACAACCCAGGCCTGTGCCCTGACTAGGAATCGAACCCATGACCCTTTAGTTCACAGGCCGGCGCTCAGTCCACGGAGCCCCACCAGCCAGGGGTCAAATGCTTTTATCTTCATTTCTACCTCTTTGTTGAGAAATCTCTGCCCTGGCTGGTGGGGCTCCGTGGACTGAGCGCCAGACTGTGAACCAGGAGGTTATCGGTTCGATTCCCAGTCAGGGCACACGCCTGCGTTGTGGGCTGGGTCCCCAGGCTGGGGGCATGGGAAAGGCAACCAATCGATGTTTCTTTCCCTCTCTTTCTCCCTCCCTTCCCCACTCTCTAAAAGTAAATACAAATCCGAAAAAAGAGAGAGAGAGAGAGAAATCTCCGTGCGACATCAAGAACATGGGAAGCCGTTTGGTTTCCTTTAGCCCTGACTCGCCACCCAGAGAGGGGTCAGTGTCGCTCAAACCCTGTCCCAGGTGCAGAGGGAGACAGAGGGTCTGTGACCGAGGGTCACGGAGTGCCTGCTCCAATTCGGTCACAGGGCGGGGCCCCGCCCTGACCGGCCACACCCCGGCCTCCGGGCCATGCCCACACTCCCTTGCCACACGCAGCCCCCTTCTCGAAGCCTCTGTCCGGCTCCTGGATGTGAGTTTCCTCAAGGCCGTCACTGTCCAGAGAGAATAAAAATAATTACCAGGTCTGTCCTCTGAGGAGGGGGCCGCAGCCGGCTGGTGCGCGTGCCTGGGGCCGGGGGGCGGGTGGCAGGAAGCACTGGGGAAAGCGCTGGTGCTGAGCCTCACCCCACCCCACCCCGGCTGCGCCCTAGGCCGGGCTGGTGAGCGGGGGAATGAGACCGTGGGAGAAGCGATTCCTTTGGGAAAACGAGATCTCGCTCCGGGCTTCCTTCACTCACCACAACCCCAGAGCCTTCCAACTGTCCGAAACGGGGCCAGTCGGTGTCGGGAGAGGGCCTGCGGCTGTGACCGTTGGCGAAACTGATGCAGAGCACGAGCTTCCTGCTGTGACTAGGACCGGTTTTAACTGGTGCTTGGATAGGTCTTTGTAAGGACCTGCCTGGATGTTTTGTGATGGATGGATGACGGGTGCATGGAAGACGGAGGAAGGACAGATGGAGGGACAGATGGTAGATGGATGATGGAAGGATGGTGGACGAATAGATGGATGGGTAGACGGATGGATTGGTGGATGGGTGGGCGGACGGACGGACGGACGGACGGATTGGTGCGGGGGAAGGTGAGGGGATGAAAGGATAGATGGGTGGGGACGGGCAGGGAGACGAAGGGTTTGCCTCCAGCCTCTCTGTCCCTGGATGGGTGTCTGTTGCAGGCGGGCCGGAGCCAAGCCCTGGAGAGAGAAGTGGAGACAGCGCGCCGTCGGACGCCGACGGAGAGCGGGACGCAGCGGGCCAGGCCCGGCCGCTCAGCAGCGGCGTGAGTCTCCCCGGCCACCGCCAGCACTGCCCCAGCCGCAGCCTGGGTTCTGATTCCTGGCAAACCTCAGCGCGTGCCATGAGTCCTCTGTGGCATGAGCCCTAAGGCGCCGCCTCCCTCTGCCCTGCCGGGCAGTCTGAGGCCGCTAAGCACCAAACAGGAGGCTGCTGTCAGCACGCGGTCACTGTGAGAAGCCCGGAGCAAGCTGGGGGGCGGGCAGGCGCCTGCGGGGAAGGCGGCCTGGACCCCCAGACCCGCGGCCAAGGGCGCACGCGTCCCCCCTCCTGCGGGGGCAGCCTCTGTGTCCTGAGGGAAGCGAACCCTCGGGCTCCTCTCCACGAGCCCTTTACTTTTTCCTAGGGCCAAGCACGAGCCTGGTCTCCAGTGGTGTTCTTTTTTGTTTCCACTTATTTTTTAATTTGTTTTGGGGAATAAAGATAAGCAAAGGGACCCCCAGGGTTTCTGGGAGGGGTGCCAGACGGGGCAGGCGGTGGTGCGTGCACACAGAGCCACGTGGGGAGTGACGGCGTCTGCCCGCTGCTCCGTGGGGACACGGGCATCTGTGTGTGACAGAATCGGGTTCCCGCCGCTCACTAAGCTTCCAGAACACTCTCCAGCGTCTGCCCTCCCCCTACACTCACTCCACAGAGGGAGAGTCCCCACGGGGGAGGGGGGGCAGCACTGACCTCTGACCCTGCGTGCACAGCGCATGGAGCACTCCCTCTGCCCCCCAGCCGGCGCCCCGCCCCCACCGGAACCCCCAGGGGTGGCACCTGGCAGCCCCGCAGAGGCCCGCCCGCCCCACAAGGCTGCAGCCTCCCCGGGCCTGCGTCCTCGGCACCGCGGGCAGCCGTGTGTCCATCAGCGGCTGCTGCTTATCTAAGTGAGGGTGCTGGGCACGCAGGCCTGGGTGGGGGCGGGTGGGGCGGCCCCTCGGAGCTCGCCCCGTGCGTTTCTCGCGCCCACCCCGCTGCCCGGGGGCGAGGGGCGCCCGGCCCTCCCCGTCTCCTGACCCGGCCTTCCTCTCACGCAGCCCGTGCCCTCCAGGAAAAAGCGCCTCCTCCCCATTCACGGCTCGGACTTCGAGGCCGACTCCGACGACTCCGCTGGGCCTGGCGGCGGCCCCCCAGGCCTGTCCTCAGCCCCAGCGGCCCTGGACAGCCTGCCGGTCAGTGGGCCCTCACTTCTGCCCTCCCGTCCCAGGATGACCTGAGCTGCAGGTCGGAGGCAAGATCCAGATACTTCATCGGCTCCTGGGTCTGGAGCCTCCAGAGGGGCTGAGCTGGCAGCGTGGACGTGTGGGGTGCAGGGCAGGGAGTTAGGGGCCGCGGCGTTCGGGGTGGGCGCTTGTCCCAGAAGAAGGCAGAACCCCGTGACTGGGGAGGGCGGGGCCGGGGGACGGCGCCTGCCCGAGAGTCAGGCTGGGCCTAACGCAGCTGGGCCGCCGGCTCATGCGGGTGGGGGGCACGCGCTTTGCTTCCCAAACTAGGATAGCCTTGCCAGCACGTGCGGTCACTCCCTGCTTAGCCCTGGGACCGCGGTCTGGCAGACCTCCCGGGGACTCCGTGCTCTGTCACCTGGAAAGCAGTGACAGTCCCCGCCTCCCGGGATGACTTGCGGGATAGCGGCCTTGCCCGCCCCGCACAGGGCACCTGCAGCAGAGGGCGGCTCGGGCACAGACCCGGAGTGACCTCTGGGGGTCCCCCGGGCCCAGGCAGTGCCGGGCCGGGGCTGGGTCTGCCCCTGCTGGGGACAGGCCAGCGGGCCAGGAGCTCAGCGCCCAGGAGGCCTCGGGGCCACCGGTCCGGCTTCCGTCTCCTGTGGCCTCCAGGGCCTGGGGCGGCTTCCGTGCCACCCTGAACCCCAGCACAGCCAAGCTGAGAAGGAGAGGGGCAGGGGCCTCCTGGAGGACGCAGTGCCTCCTGTCTTCGGGGACGATGGCACAATGGAGGGGGCCCCCTCCCCACCCACTCTTGCCCCTCTGGCCTTCGGGGATTATGAAGATGCAGACAGAACAATGCTCCCCCTCCCCCCAAAACCCCACCCTCTTCCTCGGGGCTTTGGTGTCTGGGAGGGTTAGGCCACTTGGCTGCTGGCAGTGTCCCTGTCTCCTCATGTGACAGGTGGCCCTGCGCTCAGGGACCCAGCCTTCTCCCCAGGAGCCAGGAGGCAGCATAGGCAGTAAAAGCACAATGTCTGAAACGAAGGGACCTGCGTGCGAGGGTGCGGAGGGGGCAGGCGCCTAGGGCTCGTCGGTCAGGTGATGCCCGGAAGCGCCGGGGTGTGGACTGGAGGCCCGCACGCCAGCGAGCGGCCCCCCAGCGTAAACCCCCTGCGGTTGACAGGTGCCGTGCGCTCAGGCCCTCGCGGACGAGTCCTGCCCGGAGGGGGCTGACGCCAGGGCCCCCGGGCGCCGCCCGTGTGCAGAAATGCAGACGGACAGTCCCTCGCCTGCCGAATGGGACGGCCCCGCTGAGCTCTGCCCGCCAGGAGCGCCCAGCACAGCAGCCCTGGGGACAGCCGCCTCTCCAGGTAGGCGCCCTTGGCCACGGTCTCCCAACGGGGCTGTGCGGCGGGGAGGGGTCTCCGGAAACCCTGCCTGCTGTCCCGGCAGCCACGTTGGCTGATTTCGAGTAGCCCCCCTCCCATGGGACTGACGAGCGCGGGCCGTCCCAGCAAACGCCGTGGGCTCCTGCTCTCCCTGCGCCGGGCACGCACCCGGCCACACCCGGGCAAAGCACACGATGCCAGCACTGACCACGCGGCACACCGCAGCCCCTCCGAGAGGGCGGTGCTGCAGGTTGGGGGTATGTGGGCTTTCCAGAAAAGGCTCAGACCAGTGGTCGCCGGACCGGCTGGGGACAGGGCCTCTCCACAGCAGGGACCGAAGATGCCCCTGGGGACCGATTCTCACAGGTCCCGTGGGGAGGCCACCTGCCCTGGCCCACCCTGGGCTCCCAGCTGTGAATCGGCAGGTCTGTAGTGGCTGAGGACCCAGATTTGCTCATTGAATTTTGTTGCCAGACAGTTTGCTTTGTAACGACGTCCCGGGGGGCTGTCTTTTCTGGTGCCCCATGGGAGCGCGCGCGGCAGCCGGGCACACTGGCTCCCCGCCGACGTGGGAGCAAATCGGATCACAGAGGCCGCGCGGCGTCCCCACCCGCGGGGGCGAAATGCGGCGACGCGCCGTCGGCCCCTGGCCTTCTTCCCTTCTCATTGTGTTATGGACCCTAATCGCATGAGCCGCACGCCCGGGAGGACCCCGGGCAGTGAGTAAGCGAATCTGCATTGACCGAGCGTCCAGACTTGGACACGCTCACTTCCGCCCCGTCGCCCACACTGGGGGCCCGGTGGCGGGCGGCGGCGGGGCGGCTGGGGGGTGGGGGAGGCAGGGAGAGACTGTGCCACGCCGAGGAAGGGTGCTCGGGGGTGCTGCCGCTCTGGGCTTCGAGCCCAGCTCTGCTGACCCACCATTCCGTCCCTGATTCTAAGACACATCGTTGCCCCGTCTTTTAAATGGGGAGCACGTCACAGCGAGTGTGGTCAGAAAGGAGTGTTGGGCTGTGAGTGGCAGGGTTATTGCCCCTGAGGCTCCTCCTTCCCCACGGGGCGCCGCGCCCCGTCTCCCGTGTGGCTGTGCATGGGGCGGGGGTACTTTGTGGGGAGGACGTGGGGACAGTGAGCTTCCCCCACCGCAGCCCAGGGGTAAGCATTGCAAGCCGCACCGCAGCTGACTCGCACGCCCCAAAGTCGGCCCATCACTGTCCTGGGCCCAAAACAGCCCATAGTGACCAGTGTGGAACGACCCCCAAAGGCCGCCTCCACTCTCAGAAACTTCCAGGGCCCACGTCTGCCACGCCCATGCCTGTGGGCTCAGCGAGGCGCAGTTACAGGACATTTGCTTTGCCCACGTGGCTTTGGCATCAGCCAGGCCCACGGGAGCCCCAGGGCCGGGGCTCTGCGCCCTGAAGTTTGAGGTTCTCAGCCCCGTACCTTCAAGAAGATAATCATGTCTTTGTTTTCTTTAACCTCTCATGTTTTTTTCCATTGGAAAAACACGTCCACTGACTTTCAGTCTTTCACCCCAAATGATCCGAACTGACGGTCCCTCCACAGGGGCCAGCGGCACCGGGAGCGAGCAGCCACCCGCACCGCTCCTGGCGGACAAGGACGCGGGCAACGGGGACCCCTCCGACAGAGAGCGCGGCCAGGCCCACAGGGCGGCCTCCTGGCAGAGTGGCCGGGCTTCGTCCGAAAGCCAGGTACCGCGGCTGGGGGGGCTCCTTCTCGTAGCTCCTTTAGGGGGAGCCTTCCACTCGGACACCAAGTCATACTGGAGAAATTACACTTTTCACATTTTAAAGCTATGTGATTACACAGGCCTACTTAACAGGGATACAGGTGGTCGTCAAAATACACGCTTTCTATCCAAGTGAAGTCCCACAAGGGATTCACCACTTTAAAGTGCACAGCTCAGTCGCATGTTCCGCCACCTCTGCGCATCCCCAAACATCCTCATCAGGCGCTCCCTGGCCCCGCCCCAGCCTGGCAACCGCTCCCTCCCCCCGCCCCCCGTGGGCTGGCCTGTTCTGGGCGTTTCATGTAACACGATTCCGGAGTCACACAATATGCAGCCTTTTGTGGCCGGATTCTCTCGCTCGGCATAATGTTTTTGAGGCCCATGCACGTTGTAGCAAGTGTCAGGACTTCATTCCTGTCAAAGAAAATAGATGTTTTATACTCTCTCAAGCCTTCTGTCTTTTACAAGAGGAAGACGTTACTTGTTACTGTAGATCTTGAGCAGACTTTATGTGGGTTTTAAGAAAATTCAACCTGCAGTATGTGAGACCTGCTAATTCAGCGAGAATGGCTCGCAGAGGCGGCGCGGATGTACGAGGCAGCGCATCGCAAGGCGCTGGTGCGCACCGCGGGTTCTCGGTGCTGGGCTGAAACCGCCAGCGTCTGCAGGCAGCTGATTCGATCTGAGCAACCCTGTTTTATAGGAGAGCCTCGTGACCCCGAGGTCGATACAGGCTCACCGGCTCCGGCGGGGCCCTGGCTCCTGTGGAGAAGGGTGTGGGGTTCGGCCGCTCTGTAACCGATGGCTCTTGGCGGCCCCGCTCGGGACGGAGAGCCCTGAGCCGCAGCTGCGCCGAGGCCAGCCTCCTGCACCCGGTGCATGTGCAGGAGCCTACGTTAGTGCCGGTCCCGCCTCCTCCGCGCACCAGCACCTGGCATTGGCCCCCAGCCCAGGGCCCCTCCCCAGGAAGTTAGAAGATGCATTTGCGGGGCTCCCCTGTCGAGTGGAGAGGCTGGAGGAAGGAGCGGGATGGAGACCTCCCCAGAACAGAGACCCCCACAGAGCAGGGACCTCCAGGGGAGAGAGGCCCCATGGGATAGAGTCCCCGCCCGGGGATAGAGACTCCCCAACCCCCGCCCCCTGTGGCAGGACCACAGTGCCAGAGAAGCGCCCTAGTCAGAAGACAGTGGGAGGAAGACTGGAATTAAGTTGTCAGTTTTCAGTTAAGTTCTTAATTTAGCAACTTGAGCCACTTTCGGTTATAAATCCTCTCCGGCTGATACTGACCCTCCTGTGCACCTCCTGGAAGTCTCTCTTTCGTGCTGGTGTCTATCTTATCTCTGGAATTTTTTTCTTCATTGATTTCTATCCACTCTGTTTACTGCGACGAACATCTCATCTGGAACGTGGCCTGTGCGTCTGTATATCAGGGGACCGGGCAGCGTGGAAAGCCGCCCCCGGGGGGCGGGGGAGGCCGGGGCAGGCTCCTGCGGGGCCTTGGTGACGGGGCCGCCGCAGGTCCCGGGACGGGGAGCCCCCGACCTCTGCCCCGCCAGGAGCGGGGCTTCCCAGCCTGGAGTTGCGGAACCGTGTTTCACTGGGGCCGACCCGAGTGGCCCTCCTGCGATCGCGTGCCTGCCCTGCCTCTGTGCCCACGGTCGGGACTTCCTGGGCGAGGACTATTCGGAAAAGACTCTAAGTAACCTGAGCGGCCAAGAGAAGGCTAAAGACGGCACAGCGCGCTGTATGGGGGGCACCCCACAGGGCTGAGAGGGGGGCGGGCAGGAAGCAGAGTCCAGGCCTAGACCCCTCCCCCTCCAGAAACATCAGTGCTGCGCTCGGGCTGCTGACGCTGACTCGGTCTCCCCACGGAAGCCTGCCGAGGCCGTTACAGCTGCTCCTTTCAATGCATGGCTTGTCTGTGCTGTGTGTGTACATTGTAAACTTCGGCTTCGCGCACGCACGTTGAAAGCACCCGTTCGTACCGAGCTTGACGGCTGTGGGCACCTGGCCAGTAGCGGGACAATCCTGGCGGCTGGGGCTCGCACGGGGGCAGGTGCCGCTGTGGGCGGGGGGAGAAGGCACGGCCGGCATCGCAGAGGTGGCTCCCCGGGGCCCGGGCAGCAGGTACCCTGTGGGGACATCTGGCAGCGCCAGCCGCTCGCGATGCCGGACAGAAAGCCAGGGCGGCGTCACACCTGCCACGTGCGTGCTGCCCTGGAGCGGCCGGTCCCCGGCTCCGGAGGCCTGGGTGCTGCCTGGCCTCGCCAGGGCGCCGTGCGGGGCCCGCAGCTCGTCGGCCGGCCCGGGGCCCACTCCCCTCCCGGCTCCGGCCGCCCCCAGCCCCACCACCCCCCCCCAGCCCCAGGTGGGAAGGTCCAAGGTATCACCATGGGGTGTTTTTCCTTCCATTTCACTGTGGAAGTGACATTTCACAATGACCGTCAGGCACTGGTGGGGCTGGGCTCCTCCTCTCCAGGCCGGAGGTGGCAGCCAAATGTCCCAGCTCCTCGGGAGACGAGGCCGCCTGTGGGCCCCTCCCCCAAGGGGGCTGACCGCCGTCTCCCGGGGCTCTGAGCATGGCCAGCCGTGGCCTCAATCACCCGTGGCCGCGCGAACCCCTCAGCTTGATGTTTCTCAGCCTCGCTCTTCTCTGGGCCCATGTGCCCGCTCAGAGCCCTCGGCGCCGTGGAGCGCGCGCTCATTACCGCGCGGACGAGGCAGGGGCGTCTCGGCACCCGAAGGGCGGTTGTCCCGCCGCTGACGTCAGGTGGCCCGCCAGAGCGATGATGGCAGCGAGGCTGTGTCGCCGGGCTTGGAACAAGAATTGATTTTTCTTGTGCTCCTGTCTGAGAGCTAATAGCTTCTGGTGACTCAAAAGCCTGGTGACTCAAGGGATAAAGCAGTTGTACGTTTAGTCACTTCAAGTTGTCACCTGGTGTGTCTTCTGCCCCCCAAGCGACCCAAGACTCTTGCCAGATAATGACTTTAGTTTGATCAGCCCGGCGTAGTTAATGCGCGCCTTCCTGTGCTGATCAGGACAGTAGGTGCCCAGTGGTGGGGACCCGTTGCAGGCCTTTCAGGTCTGGCGTCCTGTCTCCCCGACATGCGTGCCCAGCTTTTGCGGGGCGTTCCGGAACCCTTGGCATGCAGAGATGGGAGTGACGGTCACCCTCCCCCCAGTCACGGCCGGGGCGGGGCCTTAGCTTGCCATCCGCGGCCTGGCAGCTTGGCGCTCCCGAGGTGGGGGGCTAGGCCTCGCTGGTGGGCGTGGGCTGTGTCCCAGCGACTGTTTCTGTCCCTCTGCTGCAGAGTTGTGAGGTCAGCAAGGGCATGTCAGTGGCGGGATATCTTCTGACCCGCCTGGGGACAGGGTCCCGAAGCCCCGTTGTTAAAAGAGGTTGAGGTGCCCAAAACACAAATTAAAAAGATAATTAGTGAAGAATATACGCAGTCCTTGTTCACTGCAGCGTTATTCACAGTGGTCAAGATACAGAAGCACCCCAGGCGTCACCAGTAGAGGAGTGAATAAAGGAGATGCGGCGTACACGCGCGCGCACAGTGGGCTGTGACTCGGCCGTGAAATAGAACGCAGTCGTGCATCTGCAACAACGTGGATGGACCTAGAGGGTATTACGAAATAAGTCACAGGAAGACAAGTACCATAGGATTTCGCTTATATGTGGAATCTAAAAAAACAAAGTAAATGAACAACCTAAAACAGAAACAACCTCATAGATACAGAGAACAAAGCTGTGGCCGCCAAAGGGAGAGGGAGGCGCTGGGCAGAAAAGGGGCGGGGATGTAACAGTGCACAGCGTAGGGACCGGAGTCCACGCCGTTCTAACGCCTACACAGCGCGGCAGGCGGCAGTAGGAGCCTTAGCGTGGTGCTCGCTTCATGGGGTACAGAAACGTCAGATCGCTGTGTGCTACACGCGCAACCAACGTAATGTCGTATGTCAACTGTAATTAGAAATGAACTTCTAAATAAATAAATTAACGGGGGTCTTAGATGGCCCTGGTGCCGTCCGGGTCACGGGAGGGGCCCGCCACGCAGGGCGGTTCTAGAGGCCGGGACCGGGCCCCACACGCTGCGGGGCAGGCTCCCAGCGAGGACGGGGGAGACAGCGGCTCCAGCAGGAGCCCAGGGGGTACTCGGGGTGGGCCGCCCCGCGGAGCCTCGCTCTGAGCTCACGGCGCTCACGGAGGACCCCTGCCCCCCGCCCCGCATGCTCTCTTCAGTGTCCAGGTGCCCGTGAGCCCATGGACGCGGACGTGGAGGAGGAGACCCTCAAGAGAAAGCTGGAGGAGCTGACCAGCTTCGTCAGCGACCCCGGGGCCTCATCCGAGGACGAGGGCGCGGGCGAAGGGGCGGAGCCGGCCGAGGGCACCTCCTTGGAGCGCGGCCCCAGGACGACCCCGGAGGTACGGCCCCACCCGCGGTTTCCGCAGGGCGCAGGCAGCAGTGGGGCTGGACTCAGCGGTTTGTGGCTGAGCCCCAAGCCTAGCCCGGGGCGGGTGCCCCTGTCCGCCCCTGGGGGGCCCTGACTAGGGCAGCACAGGGAGCCCAGCCCCAGGAGCCCAGCCCCAGGAGCAGAGAGAAAGGGGTTCGCAGGGAGGAGGCCCTTGCTGGGGGACCCTGCGGTGTCTTCTGCCGGCGCTCACGCTCGGCGCTTCCCTTTCCCAGATGTGCACATCTGCAGGGCAGATGCAGAGACGGGAAGAGAGCCCCCCGGTCCCTCTGGACCCCGCGCAGACCGCCAGGACCCCGGCCGAGGCGCTGGCGGAGCTGGAAGACCGGGTGGCCCGGACGGCCTCCGAGGTTCAGCAGGCGGAGAGCGAGGTAGCCCACGGCCTCAGGGAGCAGGTGGCTCCCCAAGATAGCCGGTGGGGGGCCCCGACTGTCTGACCGCAGGGCCGCGCCCCCCCACGGCCCACACGGGGAACCCCGTCGGCTCCAGGACAGCAGCCCGGGGGTCCCTGTGGGAATCGCACCCTGCCACCCCGCCCTGTTCCCCTTTGCCGTAGTGAGGGCCAGGCAGGACTTGTAGCCACAGGAGGAAGATGCTGTCACTCACCACGCCCCACCCCATGGGGCGGGGCTTCCCTAGAAGCGGGCTTAGCTTGTAGGGCCACGTGCTGGCCCAAGGAACATGGCCAGGAGCATGGGCCCAGAGCGGTGGTTTGGGGCTGGGGGTGTCGGGGGTGTACAAAGGCCAGGGCGGAGCCAGGCCTCCGGGGACAGCCAACGTGGCTGGGCTCTGCTCAGCGCCCCCCCCGCCGGGCACCCACAGAGAAGAGAGGGTCCGCCCCTCGGGGGGTCGACACTCACTGTCCATCTCTGCTTCTCTGATTAGCAAGTGTCCTCAGTCCCCAGAATCGAGGGGCGGTGTCCGCGGCCGTGCTTGTTAGGGGGGCCAGCCGACCAGCCTGAGGACTTTCATTCGCTTACTCCCCTCGCTGGGCAAACAATTCCCAAACTCCTGAAGGCGGCCGGCATTGTGTCAGACACCGAAGGCACTGCTGGGACCCTCTGAGACCCAGCTGCTGCCTCTGCAGCGCTGATGTCTCAGCGCAAACCAAACCGGGGGCCCCGTGCGCGCACAGGAAGCGAGGCGGGGCGGGGGCGGGCAGCACTTGCGGGGCCCTGAGCGTGTCTGACCTGGCGTTGCAGGGATCAGCAGGGACACCCGGTGACGGGTGAAGGGCAGAGGGTGGCCGCTGGTCCGGAGGGCCCCGAGGGCCGCGGGGGAGGATTCGGGGCCGTCGACGGGGCCCGACAGGGGAGATGGGCTGGGTCCCTGTTTCCTGAAGCTTCCTCGGCCTCGGGGGGGGGGGGGGGGGGGCGGGCAAGGGTGGTGCTGGGAAAGCACAGCCCCGCCCCTCAGCGGCCCAGTGCCCCTCCCCCAGCCAGGCCCCACTCTGCCCCTGCTGGGAGCCAGACTTCCTGACGCTCCCCCGAAACGTCCAGAGCCCCTGGGTCCTGTCGGGGTGGCCCAGCCCTTCCCCGACAACCGTGCACCTGAGCGTGATGGGCCCCCAGGAAGCGCACCAGGACGGGACCCCGGTCCTAAGGGGGACACAGTAAAATGGGTGAATCGGGGCAGCGGCTCCTCCAGTACGGTGACGTCGAGATGGGACATCTAGGTGACGTCTATGTCGTCGGCCGTTCCCCTAGGTGTCGGACATTGAGTCCAGGATCGCGGCCTTGCAGGCTGCGGGGCTCACGGTGAGGCCCGCGGGAAGGCCCCGGAGGAGGTCGAAGCTCCCGGTGAGTGGGTGCTACAGCGCGTGGACCCCCGGCCCGGCGCACGGGGCTCCCCTCTCCTGGAACTCAGTGCCTAACAGCCATCGGGCAACTGTGCCCCGTGGGCGCCCTTTTTGTTTATTATTTGTTGTTCTAACTGGAGCAAGTAGTGTCTGAGGGACCCCCGGCTCCCACCACGAGGACTTCAAACACAGCCTCGTGCGCACAGTTTAAAGTGCAAAGGAAGTGACTCGAATGACAGCACCCCCTGTTGACACAGGTGTGGCTACAACAGCTCGGGGGCGGCCGGGAGGGGCCCCGCAGCGCCCGTCTGCCTGCGTCACGCCGGGAACATGCCAGTGAAACCGCCCTGGTGAGGGCGCCAGGCTGAAAACGAAAAATGCCCCAGGGGGGTCACGGGCGGGGGTGCCGGGTAGAACAGAGCCGGCTTCACGTAAACGGCCGACCCTTTCCCGTGTGGCGCATCCCGTGTACACCGGGGACCCACGCTGAGAGAGGGTTCGCTGTCTATCTGGCATTCAAAGCGACCGGGGTCCCTGAGCACCCGGCAGCGTGAGGACGGGCTGGGGCGCCTTCCGTGCACCCCTGAGTGCATGCGTGTGGCTAGCACGGGCGTCCGGCGTCTGGGGCCCCGGCGCTGCCGGTCACGCGGGCAGGACCGCGAGCGGCTGCTTCCTCCTCCTCCAGGTGCTCCTCCCCCGACTGGCCCGGACGCTGGACCCCGAGCGCCCGCCTGCAGGCCCTGCAGATGCGGCCGAGGTGTGTGAGTCCGCTGACCTCTAGCTCCTGGGCAATGAGGGGAAGTCCGCGAGCAGGACGGGCCCCCGGGGCGGCAGCGAACGGGTTGGTGGCCTCGGGGGGCGCACTGAGCCGACCCTGGACGCTTGGACGTGGTGGGACCCTCACAGCCCGTGCCGCCCGACGCTCCCCCAGGGCTAAGCGCCTCCTACACCCTGGCACTTGCTGCTTAACGGATGGATGGCAGGCACTTTACACTGAGAAAAGCTCCAGTGTTGCCAAGGAACACAAGGCAGCCCACCTGGTGACTTGGCATCTGGGAGCCTGCGAGGTCCGAAACCAGCTCCCGGGATTCCTAAAAGCTGCCATTGAGAGACGCCTTCTTCCTTCCAGGTCATGGCTGGGCCCTCCCTTCTGAGGGGGAAGTTCAGCAGCTCCCCTGAAGGTCCAGGTGAGAGCCACCTGCCCCCTCACCCCACGGGCGTGGAAGGGGGGCTCTGAGTTTCTTGTAGCTGGTGGGTCGCACAGCCGACGCCCCCGCCCCAGAGGGCACCCTCACTGTGACTGACCGCACAGCAGAGGGCCAAAGGGAGCCCCTCTCCTCAGGTCTGAGTCCCAAGACCCGTGCGCCACCCCCCGCCACATCACGGAAGTAGAGGAAAGGGGTGGGCGCACCCCCATGCTGGTGCCCGGATGTTTCCACGCTTTTGCCCCAGGGAGCATCTCTGGGGCCCCGGGGAGGCAGGATTTTCCGGCCAAGGAGGAAGGGGGCCCTGAACAGCTTGTCTGCGCAGCGGCTAAAACCTGAGCGCTTGTCTGGGCCTCGTCGGGGCCGAGACAGCTTCTCCAGAGGACACGCGCCCGCATGTTGCTGCGGCTTTGTTTGTTTCTTGAGAGGCGAAGACGCTCGTTCAGGGTGAGTGTGTCATTAATAAGCACGCCCCCGGGTGTTCCCCAAAGGCGAAGACGAGTCCTTCGACCGGAGGTCCGTGTACCGCGGGTCCCTGACGCAGAGAAACCCCGACGGCAGGAGGGGGGCCGCCCGCCACAGCTTTGCGGTAAGACTCCCCCCCCCCCGTTCCCCCGCGGTGTCGCCCAAGCTCTGTGGCGGCCGGGTCGCCCACGGGTGGTGAGTCCTCCGAGGAAAGGGAACTGGGGTAAAGTAACATGTAAAGGGAAACTGGCGAAAGAGGTAAACAAAAACGGGAGACGTTTCTTATGGGTGCCGGGTAAGTCAATGATGAGGCTGCTCGCCCTGCGTGGACCCTGTCCCCACCCCCACTGGCCGGCCCAGTGTTGTAAAGGCCATTCAGCCCATGTGACATGCAGGTGCTGGGGTCAAGGCTGTCCCCAGGCTTCTGGGGGGTGGCTCTCTTCAGAGCTGTCTGCCCAGGCACCTCCCCAGCCCCAGGAAACGTCAGGCCGTGTCCAGCGGGCTGGGGGCCTCCGTCCCTACAGAAGCGTGTCTTGAAGACCCTACTCCGACACCGAAGCCCCCGTGTTTCCAGCAGCCTAAGAGCCGCTTTCCTCACGCGGGCGCCCCCTGCCTAAGGCAGCCCAGCGCCTTCTGTAAACGCAGCGTTGGGACATCTTGGAACAGCTGACCTCGGGGGCCGTGAGGTCACACCCACGTGCTGGGGATGGTCACGATGACTCACAACAACGGTCCATGATCGGGGGCGCTGCACACCCATGTCCCACCAGCACCAGGCCTGCCGGCGGCCGCTGCCCCCGCCCCCCGATTCGGACCCCACAGCTGCTCTCGGCGGCTGAGCAGGGGCTGGCCTCTGGGAAGACTGAGCCAGTGCTTCCTGCTTCCCATGGACTCTGCGTGTAAGAGGCTATCAAAGGACCTCATCAGAGAGACACGCAAAAGCAGGGATGCAACCGTGCATGGCTGCGTGCGAGCCTTGTCGACGGGGGCTGGGGGGGGCGTGCGTGCTCCTCACGGCCATCCTTAGTCCACCCCAAAGGAGGGACGTGTCTGCAAGGACATGACCGAGGGCAGGGACCCCCTGCACAGCCCAGCTCAGCCAGGAGAGAGGCCTTCTGGACGGTGGCCAGGGATGGCCGTCCCCACAGAGGCCCGGTGACAACGAATGAGAAATTGTCCACGAGGACTATCTCCCGTGTTTCAGAGCTTCCATTAGACAGACACTTTGTATCCACTCGCCCCCTTGATGAGGCTGGTGTCAGCCCCCGGACTCATAGCTGGGGACGCGGGTCAGGGAGGGCAGGGGGGAGCCCCACAGGCTGACTGGCGCCTTCTGACCCACGGCCTGTGCGCGTAGCTGCGCCCGCTCCTCCATGTGTGTGCACGTCTGCATGTCTCTGCGCGCGTGTGTCACACTCAAGATGTCTAAGTTCATGTCTACCTCTGCGTGCAGCTGTGCGCGGGCATCCGTGTGAGTGCCCGCTGCGCACACACCTGTGCATGCACTTATCGTGTGTGTGTGTGTGTGTGTGTGTGTGCTTTGCAGAAGCCTGTGATGGTCCACCGGCCCTGAGGGACAGAGCCTCATCTGAGCTGGACAGAGCAGCCCAGCAGCCGCCTCGCTTTCCTCCCCGGCGGACATCGCGCCCCCGCCCCGCCCTCGGCCCTCTGCCCCGCAGCTGCGCACGCGCATGCTTTGCCAGCTTCCCGCGCCGCCCCGGCCCGCCTGCTCTGACCCACGAGGAGCATCCAAGCTCTGCCTTTCCCTGAGGACACTGTTGTTTAGACTTTTGGATGGACACACGGAAGACCCCTTCGGCATGCCCTTCCGCTGCTGCCTGTCTTATGTTGCTCTCCTGAGTGGGACGGAAAGGGAGGACGGCCACGCGCCAGCCGCCGCGTGTTCGTGACGGGGCGCCGGGGCGGGGGTGGCTTCTGCCTGGGTGAGAGCGGAGGAGGAAATCGGGCGCGAGAGGAGCAACTGAACTCGGGGCCAGCTGAGTAACGGGAGAGGAACGGCGCCCCGCCCCCTCCCCCACACGTACCTGTTCTGCCTTTTTTCTCTGTTTTCTTTCTTTGCATGCCTTAAATTCTTTCCAAATGTATGTGAATTGCTTTTATAATAAAAATCAACATTTTTGTTTTCTGATAAGAATAAACTTGTCTGTTGTAAACGTTAATAATGAGGACTGATCTTAAGTTTTGGAGGCAGAGAGTGGCTTTCGCGTAAGGACGCTGCTGTGGAGTCCCATGGGAAGGGGAGGGCAGGCCTGAGAAAGGTCACGGACATGCGGAAGCGCCATGTCAGGCGTGGGCGACCGCCCCCTCCAGCACAGTGTAGAGTGGGCGGGTGGGTGGCTGCGCCGCCACCTTCCTGTGCTGGGGGCGGCGGCTTGCGTGCCACCCGGACCGGGCGCCCGACTTGCAGTCTCCCGAAGGCCGGCGTGAAGGAGGGAGGCTAATGTGCTTTAAAACCACTTGGCCCAAATGAAATTACATAACCCTGGAAGGGACAAATCACATCGCTAATGAGAGTCTTAAAAAAAAAATAGAAGAAACCAGACAAAGACTCTGAGGCTGCCCTGCCAGGGGGGCAGGGCGGGGCGGGGGGTTGGGGGGCGTCGGGGGGTCGGTCAGCCGCTTCCTCCCGGGGCTATAAAAGGGGCGGGCTGGCTCCCGACCGAGTCAGCAGCCCGGACGCCGGCAGCACACGCACTGTCATGGGGAGCCGCGGTGAGTAGAGCAGGTGGCTCGTCCCCCTGTCTGGGCCGGGGCTCCCCGAAGGCCGTGCGGGGTCTTCCGGTGGCGGCAGCAGCGAGGGCTGGCACTGACGGGACAGGCAGGGACAGGCAGGGACAGCCACCCCGTGAGCTATGAGCGCCACCCTTGCTGGCCCGGCGCTCCCAGCACTCAAGCCCTGTCCCTGGTGGAGACAAAGGGTGACAGCCACCGGTGCCACCCCAGTGAGAGTGCAGGCAGCGACCCCACTGGACCGCCAGCCAGCCCCCCACCTCGGGGCGGCCGGCCAGCGGGCGGGCTGGAGCCGGCGCCCCGCGAGCGGCCGGGGGAGGAGCAAACAGCCCGCACCTCTTCACGCTCCGCTCTCGGTAGCACCTCCGCTGTCTGAGCGGGGGTCCCCCACCCCAGGTGTGACACCCCACTAGCTCTCTAGAAAGGGGAGGGTGGGCATTTTAAATCACCAGGTGCACAGCACCTTCTGCGCTGGGAAGTCAAGGGCGGGAGAGGGGGCTGCCCTGAGGCACGGGGTGGGGGGCGCCTGCAGGAAGGGCCGGGCCCGCCGGTGGGAGCGTCGGGGTGGGTCACTGCCTCCCCGCAGCACCCGCTCTGCCCCCTCTGCGGGAGGAGGCCTGCAATGGGACAGCAGGTCCCACCTGCTGCAGGCCCGTCTTGGGCTCTGTGGGCTGAACCCAGGGTCATGGGGAGGGCCGCTCTTGGTGAGGTCAGAGGGTGCTGACCTCCTACAACGCCAGGGTCCTCTCAGGTCCTCCAGCAAGCAGGGGTGAGGGGAAGAACCCTGAGCCTGCTCCGTGCCCAGCCCCCAGCCCCCCAGTCCCTGCAGCCCCTGAGTCCCCAACCCCCCAGCCCTCGGCCCCCTTCCTTCCCCCCGTCCCCCCCGCCCGCCGCTCAGCGGGCTCCCCCGGCAGCTCCCCACAGACCCCTCGCCTCCTCCCTCCCTGCCCCCCAGTCCTCAGCGCACAGCAGGAGGGTGCCCCCCACCCCTCCAGGCCCCTCATGCAGATGAACTGGCAGACGGAGCTGCTCCTGCACAGCCCGCCTCTCTGCGCCCACAGCTCGTCCGCCTCCTCCTCCCTCCCACGACAGGGGGTCTGATGGCAGGACCGGTCAGAGGCTGACCCGCGGTCGCCTCGCCGAATGCCCTCTGTACAGAGGTCCGCGCGGGGTCCCGGGAGGGACAGAGCCGAGGGATGCACACACACTCACACGCGCGCACACACACTCACACACGCGCACACACGCACACGCCTGCGCACGCCCCCTCACACACGCATGCGCGCGTGCGCACAGACACACACGGCGCCCGCGACCTCTCAGGCTCCCAGCGCGGCGCCCTCCCGCGAGTGTAACGCTGCTCCCGCCCCTCCGCCCCAGGCTGCGCCCTTCTGTGCAGGGCCCCGCCTCGGGCCGGGCCTCGGCGTGGAGCCGGGGGCGCGAAGGCGCTGCGGGCCTGGCTCCTGTGCCTGCTGCTGCTGGGGCCGGCCCTGCGGGGGGCTGCCAGCCGCGCCCGCCAGCACTCCATGGAGGTCCGCAGTGAGTGTCCGCCCCGGCCGGCCCCCTCGCCGCCCCGCCCCCGCCCCTGCCCCCGCCCCCGCCCCAGGGCCACCTCCCGAGCTGGGGCTCCGTCCTCACTAAGTACCCCAGCTCTGGGGTGGGGTGTTGGGGGGAGGGGGTGGGCGTTTGCCTGCTGTTCAACCTTCCCCGGCCCACGGGGCCCTGCCACCTGCTCCCCAGTGACCCTGCCCAGCACATGTGTGAGGGGTTCTCTCCCCACCCCTAGGGTGGTCTGGGGTCAAGCAGGGTTTGCTCATTCCTGGGGCAGGAATGAAGGGGCAGGCAGGGGACTTGGTCCTCGGTCCTCGTGTAAGAAGTCACCCTACCACCCAGAAAGGGCCTTGCGAGACCCTCTGGGGGGTCCCCCTTCGTGGGGTCCCAGCCTGGCCCAGGGGACCGGGCAGCAGTGAGCTCAGAGTCCCCGTGGCCGTGCTGAGTGTGGGCGCTGGGCCCTCACACAGCCAGGCGGGAGCAGCCGACACCACCCGCAGGACCCTGGGCCCGCGGGGACGCGGGCACGACGGCTCCGCTCTTTCCTTCCAGCCCCGGACATCGACCCCGCCTGGTACGCGGGCCGCAGAATCAGGCCTGTGGGCCGCTTCGGCCGACGGACCACAGCCCTGAGGACCGGCCCGAAGCCGAGCCTGTGGCACCAGCGGGCCGCCTCCGCCTGGAAGGAGGTGTGGAGCGCCGCCGGGGCGAGGCGCAGCCCGGCTCAGGAGGAGTGACCCCAGCCCCTCCCTGCGACCCCGCCCCTTCCTCCGGGGGCTGCTTCCCCTTCGAGCTGAATAAAAGCAGCTGGCCTCCTGTACGCGTGTCTGTGTGGCGGCGCGAGGGAGGGTGGGTGGGGGGCGCTCAGAGCCCAGCAGCCCGAGGGCGCCCGGCAGGGGGCAGGGGAGCCGACCGTCCTGGTCACCTGCGGGCCCCCTGCCCTCCGCGGCGCCCCTGGCGGCCAGCCGAGGGCAGCCCCGCCCTCCGCCCGGCCCCTGCCACCTCCCTCGTTCGTCCTCGGAGGAGGAAAAGCAGCTTCAGACCTGGGAGCGGCGGGGCTGGTCTTCATCGAGCGGCGGTAGATCGCCACCCAGCGGCCAGGGACAGCCTTGGCCTCCCGCCGCCTCCAAGGTGGGTCCTGCCCGGTGGGTGCCGGTGGGGGAGCAGAAGGAATCATCATGGGAAAGAGTGTCCGCCTTCACGACAGCCAGGAACTGCAGCACAGGGGGCAACAAGCTGTCGCGTCTCAACGATGAAATCGTCTAAGGGAAAAACTGGTGTAAACCTGCATCCGGCCTCTCAGAGGCCGTTATGCGTCCTCGGTCCCTTAGCTTCCCTCAAAGGGCGTGACCGGAAACAGCCTTGAGAAACCTGCTCTGCTTTCGTCCTGAAAGGTCACGTGAGAAGAGTCTCTTAGAGCAGGCGCCAGGGAAGTCTGAATCGGGGGCACCTGGACCGATCCCCTCTCCCCAGAACAGAGGCTGCCCCGCCGGGAGCCCCACTCCGCCCCCGCAGGACGGCGCCGGCCGGGCACGCTGAGAAGCAGGGAGACTCCCGGCACCGGCCTGCTGGACGCGGGAGGGCGGTCCCTGGGGGGAGCGGGGACCGTCGGTGGGGACGCGGCCAGGCTGGGGCGGCCTGCCTCCGTGTCCCCCCAGCCCCTGCCCGGGCCCCCGGTCTCCTGAGCCCCAGCTGAAGGCCCAGGCCAGGGGGCTGGACCGACGACGGTCCCTTGCTGGGTGGACAAGGGCGGAGCGCAGGCAGGCGGGCCCCCTAGAAAGGCTGGCGCCCTTTGGTGCCGAGAAGTTCAAAGTCAGCGGGAGTGGGGGCTTTCCGTTTGTCCTTCTGTCCACCCTCACCATCAACACAGCGAAGCCACCCTTTTCAGCTGGTAACGTCTCCCTTAATGTATCAAACCTGCTTATCGTGGCCCAGAGGCCAGGATGGGAACCAACATCAAAACCCCAAGACAGCCTCCCTCGCACCTCGCCCGCCCCAGGCCTCACCTCCCAAAGCCACCGCCTGGCCTCTCTGTCAGGCGCACAGGCGGTGGAAACGCAGTGTCGCCCTTGGAGAGATGCCCCATGTCCCCACCTTCGTCACGGCCTGCTGCCTGGGCTGCCTCCTTACATACTCACCGTGAGGCCCCCCGAATGTGTGCGATGAGACCTCCACGTTACAAACACACCAAAGACCAGGTTAGAGGAAGCGGTTTAATTTTTGGAGAAAAACCCCTAAGGGGCCCAGCTTCCACCTCGAGCCAGCGGGCGTGTCCTCACGAGCGCTCACTGGGCAGTGGCGTGGCCTCGGCAAATCCGCAGCTGGGACGGAGCCCCGCAGCCCTCTGCCGCCCCCGTCCCTCCCTGGGCCTTCACTGGGCCTCCCGTCTCTGAGGCCCAATGAAGACGCCCAGCCCCGCCAAGGCCACCCGCCTCCCTGGGCACAGCCCCCTTGCCCCGGGCCTGCTCCGCCCTCCCCCCACCCTGCTCCCAGGAGCAGGTGCGATTTTGTCCAACCCCAGGGGTAAGGCGACCATCCACCCATCACAGTGACCCAAGCCCCGTATTGTCCTGGTCCCTGTTTCGCTTGTGACCCGCTTCGTTCCTCTGAGCCTGGAGCAGCGGGGGTATGACAGGCAAGCCGGGCAGGGGCGGGCACCCCGCCTGGGCACTCGGGACTCTGTCTGCCTCTGGGTGTGGGAGCCGGGGCCCCCTGACGCCGGTCTCCCTCCTGAGTGACTCCCACGGCTCTGGGCAGGGCTTGTGCTGAGGGTGCCAGCCCCGGGCACCTCCAGGAGCCACCCAGCGTCCGCGGTGAATCGGAACCGAGAGCCGCCGTCCACGCGGCGCCGGCCGCGCCTCGCCCTGGGGACCAGCCGGGGCCCCTCCTGGAGCGGCCGCTCCTAGCGGGCGCAGCACTTGGCCCTCCCCGCGGGCCCCTGGCCCAGGGCCAGCCGGGCGTCTCCCCGCGGCGCCGGGCGCTGCTCCCGCTCTGCCCTCCGCAGCAGCTCCCAGCCTGTGGGTGCAGAATGGGGATGGGTGGGCAGTCTCCCAGCCCAGCACGGCCCTGCACCCCACGCCGCAGTGCCGGGGCCCGCCCGCCCCAGCCTGTGCCCACAGCCTGAAACTCGGGCCCTGACTCTCCTGCTCACCGTCCAGTCCCTGGTGACCTCCTGTTGGGCACAGGACGCCAGGCAAGGAGACCAGATGAGGCAGAGGCAGGGACACCGTTCCCCCGCCCCGGCTCTGCCGGGGCTCCACACTCACCGATGGCACTGAAGACCTCGGTCACCTGGTGGTTGGTTTTGGCCGAGGCTTCCATGAACAGCAAATGCTGGCTCTCAGCGAACTCCTTGCCTTCCTGAGGAAGAGGCCGTGGAGACCCCGCTGAGAGCGCTCAGCGGGTACCCAATGGCCTTCAAGCACCCAGTGGCCGTACGTGGCTGGGTCACCACTCTCGTTTTAGGTTGTTTGGTTTGGTTTGGCCCCCGGCTTGCTTGAGATCTAACTGACCCGCTGCCTCCTAATGGTAAGACCCGCATGGCAGGCGCAGCGCCGGGAACCGACTGGCCCGCCCGTGGTGACCAAGCGCTGCTTCTCAGGGCGCCTGCCCAGGGGCGGCCTGAGGGGTGGGGGTGGCCGAGGCTGAGGAAGCCACCATCCCTGGCTCCTGGGGGCCCTTCCTCTGAGTCCCTCCGCGTCTCCCACAGGGGCCAGGCCTGCGTGAAGCGGTGAGGTCCCAGGGCCAGGGGGACAGAGAGCCCAGGGCGGCAGAGGGCACCCCAAGGGGAGGAGCACCCAGGGGAGGCTGCAGGCTGCCCTGGGCCTCCCTGCCTCTCTGAGGACAAGGGGTGCCGTTCAGCCCGCAGGGTGCTGCTCCCGTCAGGTCTAGGTCAGAGCGTCTCCCTGTCCCACCGGCCCAAGGCGGGGAGCTGGGAGGGCAGGGACGGAGGCCGGCTGCCCCGGGCCCCCCCACCCAGCGCGGGGCCGCGTCTCCAGGGCGCCCCTGTGTGGCCCCAGGGCCCAGCTCTCTGCACCCGGCGTCCCACTGACTTTTCCACATCAGTCTCCACCCCCGGGGACGCACACCCACCAGGGACTCACTGCTGCCCCCGAGCAAGGCCCCAGCCCTCACCCCGCACACGGGGCCTCTGCCTCGGAGCCCAAGGGCCGCCCCTGCAGCCCAGCCCCCCCCGTCCCCTGCCGTCCCTCCCCCGCGCCCCCTTCCTCTTCCTCCCAAAGCCTCTCCCGAGATCCACCCGCCCAGACACCTCCCGCACGCACACCACGTTCACAACACGCACACTCCTCCGCACGCAGCACAGACACACACCGATGCACACACACCTCCTCCAGACAGCGTCGTCAGCACACACATCGATATACACACACCTCCCACAACACCGATGGGCACACCGTGCACACAGCACACACGGCCCCTACAGACACACCACGCACAGACACGCGCGCGCCTACGCGCACACGCACCACACACGCAGCGGCGCCCCCGGCCCTACCTCGAACGTCACCTCCCGCTCCGCGCCCAGGTCCGTCTTGTTGCCGACCAGCATGACCACGACCTCCCCGGGGGAGAAGTCCCGCTCCAGGTCCCTCAGCCACTGCTGGGCCTTGAGGAAGGACTCCTGAGAACGGGAAACACGCCGATGTCGGCAGAGCGGCGGCGGCTTCACCCGCTGTCCCGCGAAAGGAAAGGCCGCGCCGTGTGACACGCCGTGTGGTCTTACCGACCGTGTGGCAGGCAGCCGCCACACCCGCCCGCCGGGGGCAGCTCCGACCCGGGAGGAGGACCTTGTCCGCTCTTCCTCCAGCCTCACGCTGCCTGGCCCCAGGGCTCCGCACCCCACCGCAGGCCCCCACCGGCCGGGCTGTGCTCCTGCCCCCCCCGCCCCGCGCAGCCGCTTCGCTCCGACAGCAGAGCTGACCAAGTCACCTGCTCCGAGCCCCTCCTCCCCTGCCTGGCCCCTGCCCCCCACTCCAGTAGGGCGGACCCCGCTTCTCCCCCCCGCATCTCTGCAGGAGCGTCCGCTGGAAGCCCCCCACCGCCCAGGGCTGGTTTGGCGGCCTTCCCGTCAGCCCCCCAGAGCCACACCCTTCCTTTCTCTGGCTCTGGGTCACACTCTTTATGCGGGATGTGCAGCCTGGGGCTGCGCCCGCCCTGTTTCTGTGACACCCCCTCATCAACTCCGTGGGTGCTCCAGGAGTCCTGAGGGACAACCACGGAGGTGCAGGGTGTTCTGGGAGGACCGCTGAGCGGCACAATCCCAGCCATACAGAGGAGGAGGGGTGGTCAGGGAGGGCTTCCTGAAGGAGGTGACCAACTTCCACCCGGGGGTCCCTGCTGGTTGTCGTGATGCTGCCACAAAGTACCGGGACGGGCCAGTCCCACCGTGCCTTTGGAAGACAGCGTCCCTGTGCCTGGAGGACACAGGCAGGTGCCTTGCGGGGGTGGGAGGGGGCGGCGTGCCCAAGGGGACCCTTACCTTGCTGGTGATGTCATACACCAAAAGCGCGGCGTTGGCGCCCCGGAAGTAGAGGTGGCAGACGCTGTGGTACTTCTCCTGGCCGGCCGTGTCCCAGATCTCGAACTTCAGAGACGCAGCACCCAGATCCACCACCTTCGTGAAGAACGCGCCTGGAACACAGGGGCCCAGAGGCAGCTTGCGCGCCCTTCCCCTGCGCCCAGGCCGGGCCGGCGCGAGCCCTGGGCTCAGCAAACTGTCAGAGACGCGTGCGGCCTGCAGCCAGGGAGGCCGAGCCGCCTGCGTTCTGGAAGGCGGCAGCTTCCGTCAAAGCCAAGCAGTGTGAGTGATGGGCTGCAGACCGTTTGCCGGTCACGCAGAGGCTTCCAGTGGGAAAACAAAGTCTCAGGGCCCTAACTCAGAAACCCGGGCTTTGCTTGCCAAAGAGGCGTATCTTCAAATAGTTGCCTGGGAGCACCCAGATGTGCTGCCCTCGTAGTGTGCGCGTGCGTCCCATACAGGACAAGTCGGGGGCCTGGAGGGGACCGGAGGGGTCCGAGGGCGGAGCCGGCAGAGGGGTTGGGCGGGGGCGGGCTCCAGGCCGCGCTGCTGCCCGGCCGGACCCCGCGTGGGGTTTGGAGCCCGTTGGGAGGGCCTGGCAAACACAGCCGCGGGCCTGAAGTGACAGCTGCGCCGCGAGGCCGGCGCCTTGGCTTCCGAGGGCCGCCGTCGCGGGTCGCCACCCACCGGGGGGCTCGGAGCAGAAACGTGTCCCTCCTGGTCTGGAGGCCAGAGGTCAAACACCCAGGTGCCTGTCCCCCGGCTTTCGGTGGCCGCCGGCCCCTCCTGCTCACACGGCCTTCTGCCGGTGCCTGTCCCCCGGCTTTCGGTGGCCGCCGGCCCCTCCTGCTCACACGGCCTTCTGCCGGTGCCCCTGTGCTCTGAAAAAGGCGTCCACCGGTGGGTTCAGGGCCCACCTGGAATCCGGACTATCTCATCTCAACGTCCCTAACGGACGACACCTGCGCAGACCCTGTCCCCACCCACAGGCGCTGAGGCCAGGATCTGGACGTGGCTTTTGGGGAGCACAAGCCCACCCGCTGCAGGCAGGGGCTGCGTCAGGCTGGGCCGAGGGGCGGAGCACAGAGCGGCAAGATCATGGTTCCCTCACGAGAACCTGGCTTGGGGCAGCTCCTAACAGGCAGCTCCGGGCTCTCTCCAGGCGGGGCTCCTGGAAACCGGGATGCCGGCCACCGGGGGAGCCAAGGGACCCCGCCTGGTCAACGAACGATGTAAGAACCAACGGGGGGCCGCTGTCCAACTGGCACATTATTGCCCCAAATTAAAAAGTGTCTCTAATAAATGTTAACAGAACAAAAGTGGTTTTGCTTTTTCTTTTTTAACCTTTGACTTTGATTTGGCTCACGTAGGCCTTCTTGTAGCATTCATCTTTTTTGTAAAACTCACAAACTTCCTGGTCAACGGGGACGTGAAAAGGGTGAGTTCTCGGGATCAGAGCAGTTCAGCCAAGTTCTCCGTGTAGGAGGGGCGGGAGGAGGTGGCAGCGGGGACTGGCCCTTCCCTCACAGGCTGCTGGTCTGGGATTCACTGCGGCTCCCACTGGCGAGTGCACACACACAAGCACTAGGTGTCGCTATTGCCTCAAAAGATGTCCCTAAGAACTTGCTGCCTGGACCAGGCTGGTGCTCCCCTGCGGTGGCAGCTGGGGAGGGGGCGGTTCTGGCCCCAGCCTGCCCTGCCGGCCCCTCTCCTGCAGGGACCGGAAGCCTCTGTGGTCCCTGGGGGTGGTCAGGAGTCTCAGGGTCTTGTGCTCTCCTACCAGGCTGAGCCCCCGGGGCCTAGGCTCACTTGGGGCTCTCAGTCTGACCAGCTCAGTGCCCGCCGGCCGCGATTCCAGCCCCCTCCTCTCCCTCCGGGTGGGCGGGCCCCTGCTTTGGGACGGCCGGCGCACTGCCCAGCCGTGACCTGCTCTGCAGGGCCGCGCCCTGTGCTCGGTCACCCACCAGTGCAGAGCCCCCACCCCCCCCACACACACACGCTCACCCTCAGGCCCAGACCCTCCGGCAGGGCCCAGAGACCCCAGTCTTCCCGAAGGCTGGAGCCTTCTGGAGCTGGCCTGCCGGGAAGGCGGCACCAGCAGGGACCTGCCAGGCCCGGTCCCACCCCGCCCTTGGGAACGTGGAGCAGGCGTCTCAGGAAAGGGGGCAGCAGGCAAGGGCGACCACCTTAAGTCCTGACTTGGTGATCCACGAGTTAAGACATCCTAAGTCCAACCTCACGGGGGCCCACCCCAGGGGGGCCCCTGTTCCGTTTCCCAGGTGGGGACATGGAGACAGGGGCCATCTGGACAGAGGCTCATATTTACTGAGCGTGCCTGCAGCGCGGCCCTCCTGCCCTTGAGACCTCCGCGCCCCCAGATGCCCGTCCCGGACGCCAGTGCCCTGCCGCCTGGGCCTTGCTCCCCGGCTCGCCCTGCCCCCCGTGAACAGGTGCAAGGTTTTGTTAATAGAGCCAACACCGTGTCCGCCCTCTGTGGGATTTTATACAACACAGGCTGCAGGCTGATTTCACATACAGGAAGGAACGACAGTCCATTCCGCCATCTGAAAAGCGGCAACGTCCACGTTCTATAATTATAATAGCATGACAACTAAAATAATACAGACTATATGGTGATATAGCGCTAATAAATATATCATGATGTTAATAAGTAATTGTACTCATTGCCTCCCTAATAAGGTAATGATCACGACGTCCCCCCCACCAAGGCTGCCGCGGCCCTGGGTGTGCGGGCAAGCGCGGCACTCCCGGAGTCGGAAGGGCCGCCATCGTTCCCGTGGAGCTTGGCCGCTGACAGCAAAGGAGGCCTTGCTCAGCTCGACGCCCCAACGCTCGGCACGGTCCCTGCCCCAAAGCGGGCGCTCAGCGAGTCGGCGCCGCCCCCACGGCTGGTGCCTCATTGAATTCAGAAGGGCCGCTGAACTCGGCTCGGCCCCGTGTGCCCCACCCCCGACCACAGGGCGGCGTCCCGGCTTCTCCCCTGGGGGACGAAGAAGGGGCGGCCGCCAGCACTCACAGCCCACGGTCGGCAGGATGCTCCTGAAGTCGTCCTTCACGTAGCGGAGGGCCAGGCTGGACTTGCCCACGGAGCCGCTCCCCAGCAGGACCAGCTTGAACACGTGGGGCTGCGCGGCCCCGGGCCGGGGGGCCCCAGCCGCCTGCGCCATGCCCTGCGGAGACACAGAGCGGCTGAGGGGGCCCCGCGCCCACCACCGGGTAACCCTGGCACGTCCCCCCCACAGCACTGCCTCCCACAGAGCGACAGGGGACAAAACCTTGAGCCGGAGGCCCAGGGGCGGCGCCCTTGCCCCCCTCCGCGCCCCACGGCCTCATCTGGAAAGGGGGGGCCAGAGGTGTGTTGCAAGGAGCGTCATGCAGCTGTGTCTGGACAGTGTGTTGGTGGTGCCCGAAGGGACCGTTGCCCAACGAACGGCCGCACACCCTGAGCAGTGACCGTGACGGGCTGGTCACCATGTGGGCTGATGGCCCTCGTTCCACTAATCCCCCCTTTTAAAAATCTATTACTTCTTCCGAAAAGTATCTGAAACACCTGGAGTTCAAATGCTGTTCCTGGTATTCACGGATTAAAGTTCGCATCTCAAAAAGCAACTACCTAATGCCCTGGCTGGTGTGGCTCGGTAGAGTGGGCGCCGGCCTGCGAAGCAAAGGGTTGCCGGTTCGATTCCCGGTCAGGGCACAGGCCTGGGTTGAGGGCCAGGTCCCCAGTCGGGCGCGCGTGACAGGCAACCGCACATGGATGTTTCTCTCCCTCTCTTTCTCCCTCCCTCCTCTCTAAAAAATGAATAAATCTTTAAAAAAAAAAAAAAGAAAAGAAAAGCAATCTATTGTTGTTCCAGAAACCTGTGTTCTAAAAAAGAAAAAGTTGGTGCTTCCATGATGGAGGGAAGGAGGGAAGGAGGGAAGGAGGGAAGGAGGGAAGGAGGGAAGGAGGGAAGGAGGGAAGGAGGGAAGGAGGGAAGGAGGGAAGGAGGGAAGGAGGGAAGGAGAGGAAGGAAAGAAAGAAGGAAGGAAAGAAAGGAAAGGAAGGAAGGAAAGGAAGGAAGGGAAACACAGGGAGAGGTAAAGGACCTATCAAAACATGAAGGTTCTAAAGTATCTGCCTGACCCGAGGGCCATTCCTGGGAGCCGGAGGCAGAGGAAGAGCGAGCTGGGGCGGAGCGGGTCTCTCCCTGCCGGGAACCCGCACGGTGCAGGCTCTGGAGGACCACGTGTTCAGGGCCTGCTCAGGCCTGCCTGGTCCTGTCGGGGTGTCAGCATGTCAGGGTGCCCTGGCTCCTTCATGTCACGGACCCTACCCCCCAGGGAGGGTCCTGGAGGGCCAGCCCGCCGTCCAAGAACCCGCCCACTCGTGCAAGAGCTCAGAGCAATTCACTCCACAGACTTCTGAGCCACTGGTGGAAAATCAACTTAAAAGCAAAGCAAAACAAAATCAACAGCATGAACCAATGGGGAAGCCCCTGAAAAGGCAGCTGCCCCTCCAGGAATAAAATGTACAGCCCTGGCAATTCACCGAGCCCGGAGCTCCGGGGGCAATGACAAGATGTCACCCCCAAGTCCGACGCGGCCAGAGAGAATCTACCAGCTCCGCCGTCCGAGGACCTGGGACTGCCCACCCCTGCCCCCGCCCCGGTAAAGGGCCGCCCGGCTGCTCACGCGTCTCTGTGCCAGTTGATACGACCCCCCTCCGGCCGCAGCGCCCGCTCCGGGCCCGCAGCTGCCGTCCTGGCCCCAGCAGGTGTCCGGTCCCATAAATAGCAGTTAGTAAAGCAGACACCATGGGGCCTACAGTGAATGCCCTGTTCCTCTTCTCCAGTGAAATGATCTGTTTTCGACTCTACCTCCATTCGCTGAACTATTTTTTAATGACTAGTCTCTCTCGCTGGGCTGTAACCCCTACAACATCATTGTCATTATGAGAAAATTAAATTACACTCCCGTACCCTTAATACAACCAGGCGCAGCATTGTGCCTGCTTTCTTCTAGGCTTTTTGTTAATGAATCTTAAGAACAAACCAGCCAAAACCCAGAGTTCTAGCATAAGCTTTTGTATCCTACCTTTAAATAAACAACAACATCTATCAGTGGCCGTTTTCCACGCGGCTACAGAGGTTCTCCATGCTTAGTGGCCATGTGACATCCCTACAACGACCCCAGTTTGCTGCACCATTATCCTACCCCTGTAGCTTGACTAGGGGCTGTTTTCTTTGAAATGAATCAGACCCACTGAACGCCGTGATGTTTCCTTTTCTGCGTGGTGGCAGGCAGCGCGTTTTCAGTAGCGAGAGGCGGAAGCCCCCTGCCGGGGAGGAAGCTGGAGCCGCGAGGCCCTCCCCCCGCCGCCCCCCGCAGGTGTCGTCGGGAGGGTCGGGAGGCCTTCCTCCCGGGAGAGGCCCGCGGGAGCGGTGCCCGAGCAGGGCCACAACACGCCCTCCCGGACGCCCACATTGGGCCTGTTGGTTCCCACAAGCCAAGGGAAAGAGAGGACCGCACACCCTGCCTGGCCTTTCCGGGGGGAGGACGTCGCAGGCAGGGCCTGGTTGGCCAGGTCTTCTGTCAGGTGTCCCCGTGGGCGCGGCCCTGCCCTGCACGTAAGGCGCCCCGTGATCACTGTGAGCCTCTGGTGCCGCCCCCTCCCCTGCATGGCCTGTCACCGCGATTTGAGCGCGAGTCTCCCCCCAGGACGCTGCCCTCCCTTCCGGATCCAAACAGGGCGAACGCCCTGGGCAGGAGGGACCCCTTGCCCCGCTGGGCCCTCTGGCCAGATAGGCACAGGCACGCACGCACATCCACAGAGACACACGAGGGTACACAGAGAGACACACACACCCATGGACACACACACACACACACTCTGCCGCGCGCACAGCAGCTGGAATGAAGGCTCGCGTGCCCCCAGGCCTGGCCGCTCCCAGGAAGCCTGACAGCCCGCCCCACGGGCGCTGCAGGCCCTACCTGTCCCCGGTCCTGCAAAAGGTTGGCTCCTACACCCGGCAGCCGGGCGGTGGCTGGGGTGGCGGGGAGGCTGGGCTCCAGGACCCGGTGGAAGCAGCAGCCTCTGCCCCAGGCGCTGCCCAGCCCCCGGGCCCCAGCCCCACGTCAGGCCACTTCCTCCTGCCGGGCTCCCAGGGCAAGGTCCCCCGGTCATGTGGTCACCTGGGGCAGGGGCAGGGCGGGAGGCTGGACCTCGGAGCCGCCCCGTAGGAGCACCTGGGCGCCCAGCCGGAAGTGAGGCTCCTGCCGGGTGTTCACCCCCCACACCGAGCCCCGAGCCCGGCTGGGACCTCGTGACAGCAGCCCTCTCCCTGCTCCCCCCCGGCCCGGGGCGGCTCCCCGCTGGGGCGGCTCCCCATCCAGGGAGGAGGGGCTGCTTCGGCAGGCGATTCCGCCGCCGGGAACCCGCCCCTGCGGGCCTGCCGCTGGGACCCGGGGGCCGGCCAGGGGCCACCGGGGCACAGGGGCTCCGTAGTGCCGTCTGCCTGCTTGGGGACCCTCCAGCCTGGCTGTGCTCCTCTGTGGAGCCGTCACAGGGGGGACCCTGGAGGCCATCGCAGAGTCTTCCTCCATCAGCCTCTGAGCCAAGGTGCACAGGGAGGGCACGCCACCCAGGTGATAGGGTGCCCAGGAGACACAACACCCAGGTGACACACAGTGAAACCACCCCTGGGGCCTCAGGCTGAGCCGACTCCCAGCAACCTAATGACCCCTCCTCACCCGGAGGGGGAACTGGGGCTCGTCACTGTCATGGTCTTGGGGGCCTGTGACCTGGGCGGGCCTTTCCCCTGAAACCTGCAGGGTCCTCAAGGGGCAGCCCCTCCGCTCCCTCAGCCCCGGGGCGAGGGCGTTGGCCCGGAGCCCCCGCGGCCCCAGAGAGACGCCCGCCGGGAGGGAGACCCGGAGGCCTCCCGCTTCGGCCGGAGGGTCCCGTCCCTCGTGGAGGCGCAGGGTCAGGCTCGGAAGGCACTGCCAGGCGGGAGGGCGGGCACAGACGCGGGTGGCTGGTCATGGCTCCCCGCCCCCCCCGCGCCCGTGGCCACGCGCACACCAGTCAGGCAAAGCGGATACACGAGCACTTCACGCGCAGGGCCCCTCGTGTCCCTCGTCCACGGCTGTGCGGACTGCAGCCTTTCTCCCTGGGCAGACGCTCGCACACACTCCTGTTACAGGGGCGGTCCCCGCCGTGCCCCCCGCTGTGCCGCGTGTGAGCGGCACCCTCTGGGGGCGTGTCCCCCTTCGGAGAGAAACGCACAGTTTCAGGGTTCTGCAGCCGCGGGCGCCCCGGGGGCCGTCTGGCCTGAGCACCCACCCCGTGTCTGAGGGATCTCGGCAGCACCTCCAGCGAAGGGCTCTTCGGCCTCAGCTCCCAGGCGACAGGGACGGGCCTGTCGCCCGAGGCGGCCAGGCACCGGTTCTCTGTCCGGATCAGCCTTCGAGCACTTTGAGCCCGTCCCCTGCCCGGGCTCGGTCGGCCACAGCCTGCTCCGTGAACTTTTCTGAGGTTCTGAAGCACCTCTCAGGGCCAGCGGCACGCGCCGTGCCCAGACCCCGGCCCCTCTCCGGCAAAGGGACCCCGGTGGGGCCCAGGAGGGTGACATGTCTCCTCCCCGGCGCACGAGCCCGTGACCCCACTCTGCGCATCTGTGCGGAAGCGGGGCTCCCCTCCCTCCATGGGCCTCAGGCAGAGCTGGGGTGGAGGAGGGACCGGCGTCTGCAGCACAGACCTTCCAGAATGTTCTTATCACCTGAAGCCTTTGACCTAAGCGGGAATAGTCGCCGCCTAGCCTGAAACCTTCACCCTTGCTTATCTCAACGGAAAATTCCAGCAGGGATTCCTGCACACAAGTGAATTCCTCTGCTCCGCCGTCAGCTCGGTGCTTGGCAGGGAGCCAGGCCGGGCAGCCCGGGGCACAGCAAAGTCCTGGCCCAGGACACGCAGGGCTGGCGGCGACAGAGGCGGCCACCCCAGGTCATACAAGGTCCTAAAGGAACAGAGGGCACAGGCAGTAAGGGAAGGGTCGGGGGAGGCTCCTTTCAGGAGGAAATGCTGGCGTGCGGATGGACGGACGGAGGGAAGGAGGGGGGTGCTCGCCCCAAGGCCCAGAAGAGGGGCGGCCTTCTGAGCCCAGAGTCTGCGTGAGCACAGCGTGAGGGTCTGGAGCGTGGCACTGGGGGACATTGGGGGACACCGTCATGGAGCTCACAGTCTGGGGTGGGTGGCCGGAGGGGTGAGTGTGGAGAGGCCTTGCCCAGTTCCATGAAGACCAGGAACTACAAGCCACCCTTGCCTGAGCACCTACTGCGTGCCAGGCACTGCGTCAGTCCCGGACTTGGGGCACCCGCCTCCATGCCCTCGCACGGCCAGGCCACCCTGCGGGCCCTCGGGGACGGGGCCTTCGCCCCCTCCCGTGTTGCTACACCGAATCCTGAGACCCCCAGGGCACACGCTGTTCCCCGCACGCTGCGTCCGGCCGGCTGTGTCTTCTGCTGAACGTGCGTCCCTCGCAGAAGCACACAGAGCTGAGCGTTGGCTTCTCGTCGTCCTGACTTCCAGGTCGGGGCGTCCGGCCCTCGTGCGCGTGAGGTGGTTCCTGACAGGTCCTGCGCAGGCCCGTCTCCCGCACACGGTCTGCCTGCGCCCTCGGACCTCGCTCCTGCCCTGCTCCCTCCTCCTCAGGATTCGGCCGGGCCGTTTCGGTGTTCCGTTCACCCCCGCCGGCGGTTTCTCAAGCGCAAGGCGGGGTATTCTCAGCGCCATGATTTCCATTGGTTCTTCCTTAGAGTCCCGAAGTCTCTCCTGAAATTCGCCGCCCTTGGCCCGTTACACGCCCCTGTCTGTCCTGTAGCACTGTCCCCATGTTTGTCACAGCGATTTACGCCCTTCATCCGCACATCCCACCATCTGGTTAGCGCCGGGCTCTGATTCCACAGATCGGTTGTTGCGTTTCCTCGACCACGGGCCACGCCTCTGTTTCTTCATCTGTCTGGGAACTGTCATCATGTATTGAATATTGTGACTGATATTTTGGCAAAGGCTCGCGACGCCCACCGTTTGGCAAGAGCGGCCTCGCTGCTAGAAATTGCTCCTGAGCGAGTGGGCCTCACGTTCCTGGAGGACAAACCGGGACCACGCGGCCACGGCTCAGGGACAAAGCCACCTTTGACTCCGCTGCGGTCCCACATGCAGGACACCTGGGACCAGAGGGCAGAGTCGAGGAAATGACTCACGTCTTCAGGTCCTTGGCCGCGTTCAGCCACGCTCCGCGCTGACAGTAAGAACGCTCTCCCTCGCACGCGGCTGCCCGGCACCTGGGAGCCCTTGTGAACAATCAAAGCTGGGCCCGGGCAGGTGTGGCTCCGTGGACTGAGCACCGGCCTGCAGACCACTGGGTCGCCGTCCGATTCCCAGTGTAGGGCGCAGGCCTGGGGTGCAGGCCAGGTTCCCAGTAGGGGGCGCACGAGAGGCAACCACACATGGATGTTCCTCTTTCTCTCTTCCTTCCCCTCTTTAAAAATAAATAAATACAATCTGAAAGGAAGGAAGGAAGGAAGGAAGGAAGGAAGGAAGGAAGGAAGGAAGGAAGGAAGGAAGGAAGGGAAAGGAAGGGAGACCAAAGCTGAGAGTGGCCGGGGCAGGGAGTGGGGCGTTCAGCTCTGTGCAGATAAACATCCGAGATCTGACTGACGTGTCTGTGTCTCAGGGTCACGCGGCCTCCAGGTACAGGATTCCCTCTCCTTTTCCTGTGACGAGGTTCGTCAGCTCCCTAAGAAAGAGGCTCTAAACAGACCCACCCTAGCGCCCAGCCCCCGCCCCAACCTTCCCAAGCCCCCAGGCTCCCGGAGGGCGCCCGTCCACTCCTGGGCGGCATGAGTGGCGTGGCCCACAGCCAGGGCTGCAGGTGGCTGCGCCTGCCGTCTCACCGAGGGCAAGCGTGCGCAAGGCGCGAGGGGGACTCTGCCGAGACCCTCGTGGCCACCTTCAGAGGGAGCCGGGGGGGCTCGCGGAAGACGCAGGCGCAGAGCCCCGTCCCGTGGAAGGTGGGGCCCCCGTGTGTCAGCGTGCCAGGGCTGCTGTCACAGAGGGCCACACCCCGGGCCGCTCAGGCAGTGCAGACGGGTTGTCCCGCAGTTCGGGGCCCCGGTCGGCCCAGGGCTGGTTCTTTCTGAGTCCATGGGAGAGTCTGCCCCAGGCCCGCCCAGCCTCTGGGGACGGCTCCCTCTCTGCCCCGTTCTTCCCGTGGCGTCTCTCTGGGAGGGGGTCCCTCCCCTAACGACCCCCTTTTATAAGGACACCACTCCTGTGGGACGAGGACACCCTGATGACCCATTGTAACTCCGTCATCTCTGCAAAGACTCCGTCTCCAACAAGGTCACCGCCTGAGGTCCTGGGGTGAGGACGCGCACCTGTGAGTTCCGGGGCAAACCGATTCAACCACAACACCTCGGGTGTCCTAAACTGCCGTGGCGAGGCCAGCTGGCACGTGAGGTCTGCCTCCCTGAAAAGCAAGGGGGCCCCTGCCCCAGGCCCGTCCTTTGGGGGTTCGTGAGCCTAGAGAAGGATGTCAGGCTCTAAGCACCCATACCAGGTGACAAAGCGGTCCCCAACTCCGTGTTCAGGGAACGGCAAGGACTGCCGGTACCCACCGGGACCCGGGAGAGCAGCCCGGAGTGGATCCTCCTCAGAGCCCCCGAGGACACGAACCCTCCCGCACCTGGATTTCCAGGCCTCCAGGAAGAGACAATAAGTGTTTATTTGTTAAGGACTTTCCTGTCCCCAGGACGGCGCCCAGGACTCACGGAGCAGAAGCACCCCCAGGACTCACTGCCCACTGAGGAGGCCGAGGAAACCTTCCCAGAGGTCAGCGATAACGTTAAATTAAATGATCTGCATCAGCAACACCTAAATGTCCCCATAGGGGCACATGGGTAAGCCCCTGAGGGGACACAGGAGCATCGAGGAACGTGACACGCACTCCACGCCCACGTCCACCCCCTCCCACCCCTGTGGGACAGAGGCCGACCGGGGCTCGGACACCTGGAGGCAGCGCCCGCTCCGCTTCCCGCCCCCCACTCTCATCCCTCCTCTCCAGGCTGGCG